CAGAGTTGGAGAACATGTGGCCTGGCACGCATACCCCAAAGCAGAATGTTTCAAACCAGCAGGATGAAGAGGCCCCGTAGCCGCCCTCCCTGTGCCCAGGCACCAGGACCAGCCAGCGCCCCGCCGGCCTCCATCCCAGTTACCCAAGCACGGCCGGTGTATGAACAAGGGTACCGAGGCCCAGACTGGGCCACGTTCGCTGCTTGGCGAGAGTGGGGAAGCGCAGTGGGCCGGAGGGCCCCTGACGTGGCCTGGCAGGAAGGGCCCCTTCACCAAACTCACCTTCATGTCACATTCACTCTTACTTTGCTCCTATTTAACTTTTACTTTACTTTCAACTTTAACTTTACTTTTGCTTTATTTTTCCCGTACTTTTGCTTCTGCTTTCACTTTGTTTTGCTGTTACTGGGTGGTGGCAGTACGAGAAAGTGGTCCTTGGATAACAGGAACACTGATCCCTGGCCAGACTCGGGTGGCGGACGTGGGAAGGCAGACAGACACCTGTGCCTCCAGCAAATGGCAAACGGAGGCCCCGTGGGGGAGGCACGTCTGGTGAGCTGCAGTCTGCAGCAGGACCCCCAGGAAGGCAGGCACCCCCATGCCAGGTAATAAACAGCCAATCAGAGAATGGAGGTCTCTTAGAAGCGTCTCTGTGGGGCACAGTGAACCCCACCAGGAACACAAGGAGGCCAGATGGACAGCTTGAGAAGATGGTTCTCCTGGCCCTCCGTGCTCACAGCTCCATGTCCACCTGGGGCAAATGGACTCACAGCCAACATCAATTTTCGATTCTCCCTGACCAAAGGCTCAGAAAGGGGCACAACTGGGCCCTCTGCGAGCCACTCTGCTTAGGTTGGTGAAATGGCCCTGGGACCCGAGCAGCCCCTCACTCTGATGCTCTGCAGCCAAGCCTGAGATGGGTCAGGATCTGGGGGTGGGGCACACCGAAAAGGCCTGCTGTGCCTGGTGCACCTGCAGGCCTGGGGTCTCCTCCCTCCCACCTATTTTTGTGGCTGTTTTTTAAACTGCTTAGCGTCCTTTCTCATCTTAGGCGTGTGAACCCCACCGCGGGGCATCTCAAGCCTCTGCCCCTCTCAGCTGCGCCAAGTGCTAACTTCACTGGTGTGCTGGTATCTCCTTCAAAGCGGCCAGTGCCCCGATGAAAGAAACATCAAAGCTCCCAGACACCAGTTCTCCCTGACAGCTCACACAGGACGGGAATGATCCTCCACTTGGCAAATTGACCGTGGAACAGAGCACCCCTCCCTTCTCCCTGGTTCTGAGCTGTGGCTTTGGGTCCAGCTGACCTGCACTTGGGCCAACGTTTGGGGGAACTCTGGCACTCACTAACGGGCACCAGTCATGAGACCATCAGGAAGACCCAAGTGCTGCCTGTCTAGGCAGACCAGAAACCAAATTTACACCTGACAAGTGGAGTCATCACAGAGCTTAAACCCAACAGGCGAGATCAGATGGGACCCGCGAAAGCATTAATAATTGATTCCACGGGCCGTTCGGAGGTTTTCGTTTTAATAACTTGGCAAGAGAAATTTTAAGCTGTGCCCCGCAAAGAAATTAAGGCATTTTTCAATCAGACACCACCCCAAGTTGTCAAAACCCCTCCCCACCCTGTCCAGCCCTCCCTTCAGACACAGGGAGGACAGAGCGGTTCACAGCTGTCAGGCAGGAGGCCCATTCGAATGCTCACCATTATCATTGTCTTGTTGCAAGTGACTGATCATGAACGGGATGGGGTCCTTGGGCTGGTGGATCAGGAGTTGCTCCAGCATGTTCTGTGGGCACAGGGCAGACACCCAGGTGGTTAACAGCTGCGTGGGCATCCAGAGCCCCGGGCTCGGGCTCAGGTGGCCCAGACCCTGGTTGCTACCAATACCAGTTATGGGGCCTGATCTCTCCACCACACCCACCAAACACGCCTTCAACTTGGGATCCAGCCCCTGCTCCAGCTGCTGTCTGCCTGGGTCCCCATGAGCAGAGGCATGAGGGAAGGGTCGTGTGGGTATCACCGGGGAGGCACCTGGAGGGACTGCCCCTGGACTCAGAGCAGGCGGGCCCAGGGTCCTCTCCCCTCAGCCCCTTTGTGCTTCCCAGACCAGCCTTCTCTCAGTTCTCCTCATGCACCATGTTCATGTGCCCCTCAGAGCCTTAGCAAATGCTGTTCCCTCAGCTTATAACACTTGTCCCCCCGAGTCCTCCGGTCTCCATGGAAACATACCTTCCAGATCACACTCACTAGATAAATCCTGTCATATGCTCCCACAGCTCGCTGTTATTGCTTCACCCTTGTCCCGGTGCTGGGCACGCTCACAGTAGGTGCCCAATGCCAATAACTGCTGGGAGGCATGGCCATCACTGCTACCCGTGGCCCTCCGGGGTGGGGCGGAGTATTTACCAGCCAAGTATCTAAACAGTCCTGGGCTAGTCTGACCATTTAATTCCAAGGAAAACCAGCTTCCATGGTTCCAGAACAAGAGGTACAGAAAGGAACTGGGGAGATAATAGGAGCTGTGCTGGCGGCAGGAAGGAGCATCCTTCAGGGACAACCAGGGAGGGGTGTTTGCTCTTTGGGGGCAGAGGACGTGTGGATGGGTAGAGCGCTCGGAGCTGTGAGAAGTCCTAGTTCCGCTCTGCACCTCACCAGCAAGTCCCTTCCCTTATCTGAGCCTCAGCTTCCCCAGCTGGCGGAGGGCCCGACTGGCAGAGGCCTCTGGTCAGCTCTCACTGAGGAGACAACGTGAGATGATGCTAGCTGGTTTACAGATGGGTGTTTTTAATTTTGCTTTTAAGCAGTTGTATCTATTGTGTATTAGGAAACCTAGGATTTCAAAGATATTGCTCAGGAGGAGGTAAAACAGGTTGAATTTTTTTTTAAGTGGGTTGATTTAAAGAAATGACTAAGCAAAAGTGGAATTGTGGTGGTGGTTATATGAATCGATATATGTGATAACATCTCATAGAACCGTGCAGACAGAAAAAGAAAGAAGTGCAGGTAAAAACAGATGAAATCCAAATAAGGCCTCCATCTGGTTAATTGTCTTGTAGGACTGTGAATGTCAAGGAGTGACGTCAGATGGTCTTAGTAGGGGGAGCTGGGGAGGGGTACATCAGAACTCTGTACTATCTTGGTAATATCCTGTGGGTCTAAAATTATTTTAAAATAAAAAGTGTAAGTAATGAAAATGGTAAGATCCACGGAGGGAACACACACAAATGACTAAGGACTGGAAATACTGAACTAAAAGCTTCTGCAGACTGTTCCGTCCAAAAATCACTCTGAGGTACAGCAGGCTCTCTAGAGCAGACCACAGCGCCCCCAGGAGCTGGCCCCATCCTGCCCACCAGCGGATGACTTACAACTCAGCTGGCCATTTTCTTTTTAGACTGGCCACCCAGTTTTAGAGAAATCTCTCTCCCTGCCTCTGCCAGTTAACACTTTCCAAAGGAAGCATGTGTTTGCTGGAGAGATGGTGACACTTCTGAGTCTGAGCTCTGCTCTCAGGTGTGCAGGTCAGAGGCTCAAATGAGCACAGGGGTCACCACAGTGGTGCCTCTGGGGATAGGGTGTACCTGGAGGAGCAAATGCTCTGGAAACTGGGCTCCAGCTTCCCTTTGGCCCTCACAACCTCTGAGCGACAGAGTTCTTTCAGTCCAGCTCCTGAAAGCCTTTCTCTCCAGGAGGTGCAGAAGGGCAACCAGTAGGGGCAGGGCTTTGCTAAAGCGCACACAGGGAGAGAGGGCCCAGTCAAGTCAGACACCCAGGATGAGAGGTTGGGGGCAGCCCCGAACTCCTGCCCTAATGAAGAAGGGCCATGTGGGAAATGCTGCCGCCCAAGCCACAGGGCTGCTGTCCCGGGTCGCAGCCATCTCAGGGGACGGTGATGTCACCTTGAACGCGGACACTCCCCAGCTCAGAAACGAACACTGCAGACAGGCTGGGGGCTGTCAGCGCGGGAAGGGCCCCCAAATGCCAGCTGCCGGAACTGAGAAAAGAATGGGACTTGGTCCAGGCCATTGAGCTGGCCGGCCCAGAGCCATGACCAAATCCTGGCCAGGTGGCCTGACCCCTTTCCTCCCTCCTGGGTCCGCGGGGCAGGGACGCGGGGCGTCCTCCGACCGAGTCATCCCTCGGGGTCCCGGCGGTACAGGAGTCGGACAGCCCCCAGCCGCGGGGTCGCCGCCGCGCACCCTATCGCCACGGAGGCTCCCGGCCGGCGCCCGGCGTCGCGACAGGGCGGGGCCGCCTCGGTCACCTGCATCAGCTCGAAGACGTGGTACGTCTCCCCGTACTGGGGCATTTCCGGGGGTATGTGGTGCGGGGCGGTGGTCGCGTCCATGCCGCGGTGCAGCGCGCCCGCTCCCTGGAGACCGCCGTCGCTAGGGCCGGCGCGCCGCGCGTCATCAGCACGCGCCCGCTCCCTGGAGACCGCCGTCGCTAGGGCCGCCGCGCAGCGTCATCAGCGCGCGCCCGCCGGCCCTCCAGGCTGGAGCTGGGCTTGGTCCCCGGCTCCTCGGCCCGCGGGACCAGCCGCCGGGGCCGGGGAGGGGCACGTGCTTCCCCGCGCGGGCCTCGCTCCGCAGTCTGCACGTCACAGCGGGACCCCTCAGGCCGCTCCAGCAGTGGCCTTCTAGGACCAGAGGTGCCTCGGGAGGGCCCCCGGTGCTGGGACGCCAACCGGGGGGACGGGAGGCGGGTCCTGAGCTGGTTCCGCCATCGCACCCCGACCCGGGCGTTGGGAGCTCTGAGGGCCGGCCCAGTTCTGCTCTCTGGGCCTCAGTTTCCCCATCTTTAAAATGAATAGAAGTTGGGGAACGGTTTGAAAAGGTAGGGGAGTCCCTGGGGCGGGAGGGAAGGCCTAGGCTCACGGGGTGGGGCGGGGCTGCCACGTGACCCGATTGCTATGGCACCCACGGGAACAATCGGGCCCGCGGCCCCGCCCCTTCTCATCGACCTCCCCACCCCACCCACCCGCCTCCCCAGCCCTGGGAAGGGCCTCCCCGCCCCTCCGGGGCCCCAGACAGCCTCGGAGGCACTCCACAGAGCGCTCTGTAAGTGAAGGCCGCTCTAGGACCAGCAAGGTTAAAGCGGGCCGGGGGCGGGGGCGGGGGCGGGGGCGGGCCCGGGCCCACCCCTACCCAGACCCTGGGGTTTGGGGGGAGAGGAATGACTGGTGCGGGACCCGGGTGGGGTGGGACATGGTGGGGGGAAGGAGCGCTTCGAGTTGCGCCAGTGCCCAGTGGGACAGGGCAGCCTGGTATCAGACACAGCGCTGAACTAGGACTCTAGCTTTTTGTCTGTTGCCATTTTTAGGAGGAGCTACTCCTGGTTTTGAGCCCTCAGTGTTCTTAACAAAACTATGGGGTCTGTACATTATGGACAGGACGTCTGGCATTGTCAGTACAGATTGCCCTGAGTTCAGCTCCTGGCTCCACCTGGCCTTGTGAGCCTGCTCTTTGCCTCACTTTCCTCCCCTGTGAAGTGGGGATTAGGGAAGGATTCCAGGAGCTCATATACCTGAAGTATTGGTAACTGGCATGTAGTAAGTGCACAATGCATAGGGGCTACTATTAGTCATATTATCTCGTTTAATCTTTGCACCAGCCCTGAGAAATAAGTACCTTCATTCCCATTTTACAGATGAGAAATTGGAGGATCAGAGTGGTGAAAGGTGGTTGTGGCTGAATGACTTCTGGCAAAAGTCTTTTCCCTTTTCTGGGCCTCTTTCCTCATCAGGGGTTGATCGTGAAGCATTAAAATCAGAAGTCCCCTTGAAGATCTTCTAATCCAAACCCCCTGATTTTACAGAGGGATAAACTGAGGCCCAGAAAGGGGAAAATTCTTGGCTAGGTTCACTTGTTAAGCAAAGGCAGAGCCAGGGCTGACGTCTGACTCCTAGCCAAAGCCGTCACCACCAGCCACTTGTCCAGAGACATGCCCTCCAACGTAAAAGGCTGCAGTTCTGCCTCTTCCCCTCAGAGCCGCTTCCTCAAAGCGTGCACACCTTGGTTGGCTTGTCAAAGACAACTGCAAAGACAGCTGGGGAAGAAAAGGAAGCTGCCTCCCCCTGAACAAAGAACACAACAACCAAACCCGCAGTTTGCACTGGAGAGGTTCAGTTTGCTTCCTGGACATTTCTGAAATGACTTGCCTTTCTCCTCATTTATTTTAAGCCTTAGGCGATTTTTATACCACGATTTAATCTTCTTTAGCAGCCTGGAAAAACACAAATCAATTAAAGCCTAAAACCTATTGGGTAATCATTTTTTCCTTCCTCCTCCGTAGATCGAGAAGTGCCTGCACCCTGTGCCTTTCATCCACACTAATTTGGCTGCAGTGACTCTCGTTCAAGGGACACTTTGGATAGCTTATTACAGCTCTTCTTACAACATTCCTGGCTCGCATGTCACAAGTCTCTAGGATCAAGAGCCAAGTCAGTTTTGCTCTCAGGGCCTCTTGGGGCCACCAGCCGAGGTAGGGCTATAACCTTAGAGAACTTGACAGCCCCAGGAAGCCCCAGGAGGGTGGCAGGGAGTCAGACACATAGGGCGGCCCCTTAGGGGATGGGGAACAGAGAACAGTCTCATGGGAGTGGAAATGAGGCCCAGGGTTCCAGCCAGTGCATGACCCCTAGGAGGGTTTGAGCAGCTTTTCAGGCCTTTGGTATCCCCTCCACCCCACCCACCCACTCCCAGCTCTGGTCAATCTGATGTCTGGCATGTCTGTCTCTATGGACCATCACAGAGGGAGAGGGAGCTATCCGAGAGCCCAGACTTTATAAAGTCAGGCAGAGCTGAGTGGGAGATCCTGGTTGGCTCACTTCTCCTAGCTGGGTAACCTCAGCTTTGTCATCTGTCATGGGATAATCGTGGTACCTTCATAGGTGAGGACTTAAGGCATGGCCGGGGTTTTCCTAGGGCCCCACAGAGAGTAACTGCTGTTAGAAGGGTTGGGGTGGGTGTTCAGGATCTCCTTGAAGGCTGGAGCATGGCTCTAGTTTGCCCTGCCCCGCACCCACCCACCCCCTGCAGAGGACCCTCTTGCAGACTGTGAAGCTCTTCATCCCGACACTCCCAACCCACTGCCCAGCTCCCTCTTCTCTTTAGCAGTGCCCTTATCTAAAACGTGGTTCATTCACTCATCCTTATTGTCTGCCCCCCACTCTGAAAGATAAGTCCCTCCAGGGAAGGGGATCTTGTCTATTTTGTTCAATGCCGTGTATAGCCCAGCACTCAGAATGGTGTCTGGCGTATGGGAGGCATTGCAGAATGAATGAATGAATGAACGCATGACGTGCTTCTTATTTTGGCCTTCAGTGGTTCTCCTAGCTTTGTCTGATGCTTAGGTCCCTCGGCCTTACTCTGTCCACTGCCTTCTGTGCTTGCTCACAATATTCCGCATAACCCCCTCTCAGCCTCTAGCCAGGGTCCCCACCCCTCTGCCCCACCCTCCCCACCTCTCCTCTCCGGGAGGTCAAGTCCTCAGCAGCCTCTGCTGCTTTCCGGGTGCACACTGTGCCTGTCGTGGCCCACTCCCGTGATTGTGTGCACACCGTGTAATCACAGCTGCTTTCACTGCCCCGACAATCGGGCGCTGCCGCATTCCGGGGCCTGGGCTCCACACCTGTCACCTGCCGCGGTGCTCACCCCACGGCTGGGAGGCTGGCCCTGTCCTCTCCCAATAGCATGTTAGAACGCGGAGGCTCACCCTGCGGCGGCACCGGGATTTAAAGCCGGGACTATAGGACTCCCGGGCTTGGGTTCCTAACCACCCAGCACAGCCCCGAGCGTTAATGGGGGAAGGCCAGACTGAAAGCACATGCCCCTGTTCCTCCCCCGAAGCCCCGCTGTGTGCTGGCTCCGACTTTTCTAGGCCTTCAGCCCCCGTGTCACTTGTAAGCCCCAGGCCCAAACTAGGTGAGGCAAGTAAGGTGGTTGCCTTGGCGCAGAATGTGAAGGGCGCCCAAAACCCCTGCCATCAGGACGAATAACATTTAAAAACATCAAAACTAATGCAAAAAAAAAAAAAAAAAACCATTGAGAGTAAACTATTAAAAATTTAAAGATGGGATCAGTATTACTTGTTCCTTTTGCCTCGGACTCCTGTACAGCGAGGCCCCGCACTGGATCCCATTCTGTGTTTACTTAAAATTTAGGCACTTTGTGGACTTTTTGCTGTTGACTTTTATTTCTTCATATAGTGTGTTAAATATTTTTACCTGGCCCGACTGCTGGGCTTTGTGGTGCCCCTTCAGTTTCACACCGAGTGCCTCACCTGCCTGGTAAGCCTGCACCATTGGAGGCACAACCCAAAACCCTGCCCCCCTTTACCGCGTCCGCCATTGCTGCCTGGCAGGGGGTAGGGGGACCTTGGCAGGGGTTCCAGGTGTCTGACAAACAGTGGGCCCCCACTGCATCCCCACAACCCAGGCTCCCCTTTGTGCTCGCCCACAGCGGGCAGGGGACTGAGTGGGGAGGACACGGGCGCCCAGCCCAGCCCTGGCCCAGGCCCACCCCCATAGAGCTGCAGCTGCTGTGAGCAAACAGGCCCCGTGGCTCCTGGGGGGCGGGCGGCGGCGCTGGGCACTGCTGCTGCATGTCCTCCTCCACCCACTGAGGTTCACAGGGCGCCATTATCAGGGCGCATCCTGTCGCGGCTCAGCTCCCAGCCCTCCCCAAGTTCTCTGCTGTGCTGCCCCCGTCGTGTCCTGGAGGCCACCTTCTCATCTGTTTTTGCATTTCCTTTCATCCCTCTTCTTGCCACGGAGATGCCCTCCCTGCTCCAGCCCTGCCATGGGCTCGGGATGCTGAGGGAGACACAGCAGAAATGGCCTCCCGTCTCCCTTGGGCTTGCTCTCCTCCACCTGGGGCCTGCCAGGAAGCCTGGAATGTCTTCTGCCCCACCCCAGCCCTTGCAGCAACTCGCTTGGACCCTAGCTTGGCTCAGCCGCCTCTGACCCCCGCTCACACAGGGCACATGAAGTGCTGGTGGTGTCTCGTGGTGGAGGCATGGCGGCTGGGACAGCTTTGAGGACTCTGGTTAGATGTCAGGAAGCCTGGGACCTAGGGTGTCCACGACAAGCTTGTTGTGACACGCTGGACTTCAGCTCCCCCCCCCCCCCGCCCCGGGAGTTAAGGGGAGTTGAACGACTGAGGTCTCCCAGGTCTGGAGTTCCGTAAATCTGGGACCTGGGTATCTTGCACAGGCTCAGCAAAACTGTGATGTCACAGAGAGCAGAACCCACAGCCTTCTCTGCTCACAGAAGATTCTAGATGCCTTGTGGACTACCTGAACCACACACCAGGGACAGTCTGTGAGGCACCAAAAGAGAGCACTCCCCATGGCGTTAATGTTTCCCATCAGGCCAGCCCCTGCCCTGAGAACGTGCCAGCCTGAGATCAGGGCTCCTGACCCAAGCACAGGGCAGGGAAACTGCATCTTCTCACACTCGACAATCCCGTACAGGCTCTTCCCCTGCTCAGCCCACTGGAAACAATCCTTAGACTTCCCCACCAATTGCAAAGAGGCAGATGTTTTAAAATGATTTGGTCCAAACTGATAATCACAGATTTTATTTTCTATGACATCTGCCGTGCTCCCCTCTGTTGCTGACAGCGCAGGAAGGCATGGAGGCTGTGTGTGTGTGTGTGTGTGTGTCCGTCCGTCCGTCCAAGGTCTGGAGGAACTGAGGACCAGAGCAATCCGTATCCACACTTGAGGCAAGGAAGTCACAGTTGATGGCACAGAACGTGTCCTTGGAGGGTAAAGGGACCTGGGTCAGGCTCTACTGTCTTGGATGGCCTGGGGCAGGTGCAGTGAGTGTGGTTCTCACCCGAGTGGGGCCTGGGCGTGCTGGTCTGGAGCTCCGGAGCTGGGTGTGCAGTCTGTGCCCAGCGCCTCAGCCCCGCCCTCTCCCTCCCCACAGATCCCCCGCCTCCTGTGAATGACCGCTGAGGAAGACCATGAATGAGACGAAGGAGTCTCTGCGAAACACCGAGCAGAAGTACAGGCTCTTCCAGCAGCAGCAGTTCACCTTCATCACCGCTCTGGAGCGCTGCAGGGACAACGCCCACGACAAGACCCGGCCCATCGCCAGCATCGGACAGGTGGCATCCCGTGGGCTGGCGGGCGGGGGGGCGGGCTCCCAGGGGCCTGCCAGGCCCAGAGATTCCCGTGTGACACCTTGCTTGAAAGATCAAACTGAGGCCCAGAGGGGGCAAGCGCCTTGTGCCAGAGTCAGGACTTGGAGCTTAACTAGTGGAGCGAGCCAGGCATCCCCTCCCCAGGTATGTGAGTAAATAGCAAAGTGGTTACAAACATGGGCCGGAGACTGCCAGCCAGGGTTCAGGTCCCGGCTCAGCCCCACACGCCCTCTGTGACCTGCAGCTGGGGGTCACCTGTCTGTGCTCCAGTGGTCTACTCTGTAGAGTGAGCACCTCCAGGGAGCATGCAGATTTAGGGAGATCATGAGGGAGACTCTCAGCCAGCGTCCGATGCCTGTGGTCCCAGCTGTTAGATCCTACTGGGATCTGAGAAACAGCGAGGTGCCAAGCACATTGCTCCACCCCCCCACCCTCCCCACCCCCGTCTGCACACATTTTCACTTAACCCGGTGTCCTCCTGAGTTAGCTCTGTCCCAGTTTGCTCTGCCAAAGACCGAACACGCCTTCCAGGAAGCAGCACACATAGCTGGGACCCTTCCAACTGCACACATGCCTCGGGCCCACGAGTCAGCTTGTGGAAGGCCAGTGGCTCACGGCATGGGGGCATGGGGGCATGGGGCGGGGGCGGCCTCCAGAGCTCAGAACTGCTTAGGAGAAGTGCATGGGCCCACGGGGAATAGCAACCCTGCCAGCATCCTTCAAAAAATCCTTTCTTCTAATATATGTAAAAGCCTCTCCTGGTTTTTTAACTTGAAAACTTTTTAAACCTACAGAAAATAGCCTCTTTCCCCTGAACTATCTGGAAGTCAATTAGCTACATCCTTTTTCTAGCCCGTTCCCCAAAGGCTCAGACTTCCAAGGCCACTGGACAGGTTTATCAGGAAGGAGCATCTGAGACCCGCACCCCCACCCCCCCACCCGCACAAGGGAGTGGCCTTCTGGTCTTAGGTTCAGCAAAGGCTCTTGGTAAACAACGGCCCCAGGGTTTGACTCTCTATGGGAAGCTTCGATTCTTGGCCTCACCCTGCCCTCCCTGAGCCTGGGTTCTCCAGAGGTAACCAGCACACACACCCGGTAGCCCAGTGACTGCTGTGTTGTAGTTACACCGCGGGGCAGGCCCCTCCTCACCTCCCGCAGTGCCGCAGCAGATATGGAGGTGGCCGGAGCCCCCCCCAGAGCTGCTGGACTTGGAACCACTCAGATCATTTGGGAGGACATCCCCTAGCAACAGAAAGGCAACCTGGTTTCGACTTAGAACTTTCTGGCTGCTAGAGGAGGGAGGTGATGTCCCCAGCCACCGGCCTGCCACGGGTGGGGCCTGCGTTGGGGAAATGGGCCAGTGAATCCTGCCTAAACTGGAGCCAGTTTCTCCTCAGCCCGAGGCCAGGCCTCCCGCCTTGCCTGACCTCAGATTCAGTGGTGGGGGTGGGGCGGGGGGGTGAGGTTGGATAGAGAGGAAGAGCCCCTGCCCGGGAAGGAGCTCCGTTCCCCCCAAGCAGAGGGGCTGAGCGTGGATCAGCCGTCTCACCATTCTGAACGCCTTTAATGACTTGGGAAAGGCGTCCCGACTCCTGCATCTGGAACACGTTCACAGGAGGGCTTCCGTTTTGTTCTGGCATTTAAGATCTTCATCCTAGAGTTGGTGTCAGTGTGTGGTGTGAGGTACAGACTACCTTCTATGGGTGATGCCTCTGCTGGCTCCCTTTGTCCCTCCTTCCTCTACCTTGGAAACACAGGACAAGGTAACTTGAGAGAATTCTAGTGCCTTCTCTTTGCTCCTCAGTGGGGCCCGAGTGGGACTGTGTCCCGAAAGGTCAGGGAGCGGCGCTCTTTGCTTTGGGTGTTGGCTGAGGTGCGTGGCACCCCGTGGGGTTTAGATGAGCATGTTGAGAGCTGTGAGGTCCAGCCTGCACGGCGCCTGGCACAGCGCCTGGGACGCTCCGTGACCGTGACTGTAGGTAGTGGCGTCTGCATGCAGACGCTTCAGTGTGACTGGCGTCTGCCCCGTGACTCCGCCTCCTGAGCGCCCAGCGTGCGGCCCCCACAGGTGCAGAGCTACACGGAGCATTACTGCAACAACTCCACAGACCGGCGCATTCTGCTCATGTTCCTGGACATCTGCGCAGAGCTGAACAAGCTGTGTCAGCACTTCGAAGCCCTCCACTCCGGCACCCCGGCCACCAACAACCTGCTTGAGAAATGCAAATCCATGGTTAGCCAAAGCAACGACCTGAGCAGCCTCAGAGCAAAGTAAGTCCCTTCTGGGCCTGTTCCGGAGGCCCCAGCGGCCTGAGCATGGAGGGCAGCGGGGCGGGAGGGAGAGGGGGCGACCCCCAGGAAGAGGCAGGCGTCTGCGGACGGGGCAGGTGCGTCCCCGCGGGTGGATCCTGTGGCGACTGTCCAGACCCCCTTACCTGGTGGGAAATCCCAGGCCCACTGACTTACTGGAAGGGCCAACCCCACAAACTGTTTTAGTGCAAACAGTGGCTGCTGAGGCCGCAGGTAGGGTGGAGCTGATACCGGACAAAGGGAAGGGGGCGTCGCAGGGCACGTGTTCCCAGAAGCCCACGGAGAAGCCCCAGTACCACCAGTGCGGCTCCCTCATTCTGTGCCCTGGGGGCCCTCAGCACAGAGTGCCCTGTTCCGGAGCACGCCGTTTAGTTTTCGGGGTGAAGAGGCAGAGGGCCTAACCAGCAGGTTTTGGAGCAGTTACGGCAGGTTTCCACGGCCCCTGATCCGGGGTTCTGCAACCAAAGGCAAGTGGTTCAAGAGTCCTGCCCCTCACACCTGGATTAGCCAGGGCTCCTGGGCCGCAAGCCCGCCGAACCACGGTCCCGTAGAGAGTGCGGCTCGGCCCGTGCGGCCCTACGCCTCCCCAGGGGGTTCTGAGGGGCGGCCAGGATCAGAGCCTGCCCCGGGCCTGGGTGGGGCCCTCTTGCTGCCCTGCAGGTACCCTCACGACGTGGTGAACCACCTCAGCTGTGACGAGGCCAGGAACCACTACGGAGGTGTCGTCAGCCTCATCCCCATCAGCCTGGACTTAATGAAAGAATGGATCGCCCACTCAGAGAAGCTGCCCCGCAAAGCCCTGCAGCATGTGAGTGAGCCCCAGGCCCGCCAGGAAGCCACCGGGGTGGCTGCTCGCCCTTCCTGGACCACAGGCACCCAGCCTCGGTTAAGCAAGCACAAATGTTGGCGACTTACAAAAGACAGCCCCAAACGTAGGGGGAATGACACAGGATGTTTCAAACCTCCCTGGAGACCGCCTGGTGGGAAACTGTAACTCATAGCTGGCAACCTGCTGTGTCCTGTAGCGTGCTCGGTCACTTAACTTGGTCTCCACTGGCTGATCCATTCTTTGGCATCCACAGTCCCCACCACGGATGAACCCCAGAGGGGCCTGCCCAATATACTGTTGAGAACCTCTCTTCCTCTCTCACTTTCACTTCTAAGCTCTCCTCACCTCTGAGTGTCAGGCTCTGTGCCAATGAAGAGGACCCCCACTTCCGGTGTTGGTGGGAGCAGGTGTCCCGGGGAGGCTGCTGAGAACTGGGGTCACCAGCCTGCCCAGGTGCTCTGGGAGCTGCCAGCCTGCACCCTGCCAGGCCCGGCCACGCTGCAGGTCCGGCTTTCTGGGCCGAGCCGCTGCGCCGGAGGCCTGCCAGCTCCTTTCCCACCACAGCGGCAACCGTAGGCAAGGCTCGGCTCCTGCAAGGTCCAGCTGCTCAGCCTGCCAGGATGCTGAGGGCCGGCACGGTGGACTTCCTCAGTGTGATTAGGTCTCTGAACCAAAACCCAAAGGGGAACGAACCTGCCTTTGCTCTCCTTTACTTGGGAGAGGGGAGACCATGAGAGAAACCGGAAGAATTCTGATTTTATGGCTCCTGTGCAAGGACAGTTTCCTGATTTTTACAACACAGTCAAGGCCCCGACATTACAGAATGTGTCTCTGGCTCTTGAGCTTGCTGGAAGTTCTGACTGACTGTTGGCTTTTCCCTTCACAGGGGGCGACTTAGCTTCTGTGTTCTTGCTTCCTCGGGGGCGACCGTCAAGAATAAAAAGTGTTCTCCCCTCTCTGCCTGGCTTGGTTTCCTGGGAGTTATCCCTTCTTTATTTACCCTGAGACCTCAGAGGACACTGGCCAGTAGCCTCACAAGCAAAACCTTGAGCAAAGAGCAACCACTATAGACATTTGCTCTCGGGGGGGTTCATGCCAAAGACCCACAGACCAGCTCGTAACTGGCCTTCCATAGTTAGAAGCTGTTCAGACAGGAATCTGAATAGACATCTGAATTTTCCAGACGAAATCAAAAACTGCCACCTCTGAGTCTTTCTCTCAAAGCGCTGCTTCCACCATTAACATGGGCAAAGCACACCGATTTGCAGGGGCAGCTGGAAATGTCTGTTCCAAGGAAGAGATGGTAAGCCAAGGCTGGATCGAACAATTGTTTGAGGTAGTTTCCTGCCTTCCTCCAAAACCCTGACAACGTAACGGAAGGAAGGTGGTGGGTGCCGGCTGCCCTTCTCCCTGGCACGTTCACAGAACATGACCGGTAAGCTCTCGATGACCTCGGTGTCACCTGGGTGCCACCAAAAGGACTGTATTAAAGCCAACGGCCAGCCAACCCGTAGGGAGGCAAGCATACTCCCAGCACGAGGTGGGACAGCAGTGCGGTCCCTGCAGGCCGTCCGGCTTGGAGAGTCTGGGTGGGGATGACTCACGTCACCTGCTCCATGCCACCATGCCACTCTCGGGAGGGAAGGCAGGAATCCGAGGCAGAGAAAGGGAGGATCTGTGGCTGTGGGCCACAGAATGGGCTAGAACAAAAAGGGTCCTAGAGAGACGAAAGCCAGATTCTACTTGTCAGCACCTCCTCCAGCCACCTGAGGTGACCAACCAGGCCAGGCCGGAGGCTTCTGCATCCGTGGACGGGTCCCTACTTCACCTATGAGCCCCTCAGAGGCCAGCGTGAGTCACTTCATGTCAACACAGCAGAATAGTGCAAAACAATAGATTTTTATTTGTTCACAGTTAAACACAAGCAACTGCCTTGACATTTTAGAACATTCTAAGAAGGACAGCAAACCCTTTTGATTCCAATTCCCATTTACTAAGATTGTACCATTTTCTCTCGCAGTTCTTGTTTATGGCATCTGACGTGGATTGTTTGACATGCTTCTAAGATCAAGGCGGGAAGGTTTAAACCTTTTGACAAGAGGACTTTCTCAAATTTAACTAAAAGCAGTCAGTTAAAAAAAAATCTTTTTTTTTCACTGATGGGATCCCTTTAAACTGCAAGTTAGCCACATGTGGTTGATCCATAATTGAGTTACAAAACTAGATTACGTCTTAACAAAATCTGTTCCTCCGTAATATACTTATTATGGTCCATAGAAGTCTTCTGAAAAGTGATCACTGATTCTTCCTAGTGCAAAATGCCCGGCTGCCTCTTTGATCAGCCAGAGTATCTGCTGCATCCAGCAGCGCCGTACCCTCCTGTCCAAACACTGTAGCGAGGTGGGGAAGGGAGGAGGGGGTGATGGGGGGTGGGTCTCAAACTCTCAGGGGTCTCCTCTAAAACATCTATTCCAACGGTTCAACTGGCCTACTCATCCCAGACGGACAACTCGGTGGGGAAGGGAAGGGAAGGGGGGCAGAGGGCTCCTCTGCAGTGGCGGGTGCAGGGGCTCACTACCCCGGGCAGGCTTCCCTGGTTGCCACAGGCCCTCTCCTCTCAGGTGAGCACGTACAGACCGGAGGACGGCATGGAAAAGACGGGAACCCACTCTCCCTGCACACGTCAGAGAGTCCTGATGGGGACACGAGCCACATGGTGACAAGGGTCACAGCAGCAGCCTTGGGGCCGGGCCCCGACCTACACTTACTTTCACCTATACAGAAAAGCGTCACTGAGGGCAACCAATTCCTCTGCCACACCGGGGAGGGGTAGGGAAGGGAAGGGAGGGCTCGAGTTACAGAAGTCTGGGCAGAAACACATACAGATGTGGTGGGGCTGGAGATCAGTTTCCAGCGTACACCTCCAGAGTGGAAAGGAGCAGAGGTAGCTGCGCTGATGGGGGTCATTCCATGAGCCCCTCTCTTCCCCGCAGGAGACGTGGGTGGGATCGGGCTCGGCCTAGGACCCCTCTGAGCGAGGCTGGGTGGCCCTCTGCCTGGGCCGTGGCTCCGGAGCAAGCCTCCGCACCGCCCACACTCTCCTTAACCTGCACGGCTTCCTCCCATCTCTCGGCGCTCCACGTGGCACTTCCTCTCACTCATTCTTCCGTTCTTTCTGGCTTCAAGTGGCATGTTCTAGTATTTGGTACAAACTCCCACTGGCTAGTCACAGCACATGCTATATTCTCTACACAGAAACACCCAAGTTTTCATTCGGAACTGTGAGTCTGAACCCCTACAGCCCAGCTCACGGGGACGCCCTCATCGCGGCCGCTGTATCAGCCACCCCCTCCTGCACAACCATAAGACTTTGGCCTTTTGTGACAAAACCTCTAGAAACTACACGGGCTGTGGCAAATGGGGACAGCCCAGGGTCTAGAGTTTCGCGTCCTGTCGTCCTGATTTTGCCCCGTGATGTGCCAGCCTCTTGGACCACAGCTGCACAGTGGGCTCACCATCCGTGTCAGCGGTTCCCAGATTCCCTGCTCGGAAGAGCTGGCCCCTTTCCCCTCCACAAGGCAAACACAGCAGTTGACCTATCGCTTCTCTCTGCGCCCACGGAGCCTGGTTAAGAATCCCCAGCAGCTGAAACACTCTGCTGACCAAGCTAGGGAGGCCACGGCCGCCCACTGGCTGCCCACGGCTGGGCCTGGCACTCGGCTCATGGAAGCCTTTAAAAACCTCCTGACCCAAGAAACGACCTCTGTCTCCTGCCTTTGGATTTATTTTCTTACTCGTGACTAGGTACTTCTTCCAATGCTACACTAACAATTTCTGTAGACTTTATGGCAGAACCCTGTCAAAAGCTTTTTAAAAATCCCTCAAAGTCCTGTCTGGGAGGCCCGTGTGCTTCCGTCCTGCAGTGGACTCGGGAACGTGCTTTCTCTATGGAGACCATGCTGCCACTCGGCCCGACCTGGCCCCACCACCCCCGTGATACTGTAGTGCTCCTTTTGAAAACAAATTTCATGCTGCCCAAGAAGCAGACTGCAACCCCAGGCCCTGTGCTGACCCTGGTTAGTGTTGGGTGGGGATCAGAGCAGGTCACGCACACTGGCCACACAGCTCTGAGGCAGGCAAGCCTGACCTGCCCAAGCTGCTGGACCTGATGCTGTAACTATTCTAATACATTTGCCAGCTCCCAGGCTCGAATTCTCTCTGTAGTGTCCCTCTACTATCTATCACCTTTCTGTCCTTAAAAAGACTCGCTGCTGCGCAATCGGTGACCTGTTGGCCCCTGGCAGGTTTATTGTTTTTAAAACCAAACTAAACCTTACTATTGACTTGAGTCCTTTGCAACATAAAAGCCTAAATGTTTAGGCTGGGTAACTTCAACAGGCATCCAGGCCTCAGTCCCCCAGCCTTGGCTGAATAAAAAGCCCGGCCCCCTAGAACGCAAAGGAAGCTGAGCGCAGCTCCCCTAGGCTGGCCATGGTTGTCGAGCTAAGCAGCCGGCTGGGCCGAGGGATGTGCCAAGGGCCCTGGGCCCAGAGACCTGCCCACAGAGCCTCCAGCGCAGGCCACAGCCCACTTCACCACGCTGCCTCCCCCTTCTGCCCTATATTTTTACAATCTTCTCAGTTCTTAAAAATGTTTTTTCTTTCTTTACATTGGCCTCTGCCTTTGCCAGTTAATCAGGAAAAAGGCTTTGATTTAAACGCCTGGTGTCTTTGTTCTGTGGCACAGGTGTCTCGGGCTGGGGAAGGGTGAGCGTTTTGACCTGGTTTCAGTAGGAATCCAGTTAACATTTTCTTCCTTTCTGAATTTGCTCGTGTTTTCCTTTCCTAAAACTGAACTAGGAAACAGGACATACTCGATTTTAAGCTCTCCTTTGGACAAAGCTGAATTCACCACATGTGGTTATTGCTAGTCCACACGGGTCATCCAGCAGCCACTGCCCGGCCGCGCAGGGCCGGGCACAGTCAAGCACACCTGAAGATCCCGTCTGGACGAGGCTTCGCGCCAGTGTAGTGGTGGTGACACAGTGTCTCTCGTGACCTCGCCCCCTCTGGTCAGGAGTGCTAGAATGTTTACTGCAACACTTAAAAGACAAGACCTTCACCCTCACATGCTGGAAGCTTCTGTAAGCAGTAAGATTTCGTACCATTACGGTCCGTCTTTTTCCCCCCTCACGGCTGAAACCCCTCGTATACTTTTAACTAAAAGAATAAAAAAGAGAAAAACCAAGTTCACCGGCTCTTTCCTGCCGGTCTCTCCTTGCCTCGGCTGGGACACTAAGCAACAGCGCTTAGGCTTCTAGCATCTACCTCTGGAGCCTGTACTGAGTTTCAGATGCTGTGCTGGGGTCACCTCCCCTGAGCGTGTGCAGGCAGCCCAGGGTGCACGTCAGACCGCCTTGGTCAACGCTCGCCAGGACTCTGCTCTGAACTGCTCGGCCACCACTAATGTGTGGGAAGGGAGCAGCATCAAGCTCCCTGGAGGGCCGGCCCCGGAAAGTTAGGTTGGTGTGAGAAAGCTGTTACCTTTTTGGTGGTCTAGAATCAGCAACGGCGAGGGGGCTCTACCAGCCTGAGAAGCAATGGTCATTTAAATGCTGAAGAAACTCTTTGGGCCTTCAGAGCCTTTCTGCAGCAGCATCACCAAGAAGCTGACATAGATGAGAGGCTCATGGAAACACGAAGGGAGAGAGGCAGACAGACCGAGGCAGGGGGGGGTGAACCCCGAGGCTCAGCTGGCACAGCCCTGCCCAAGGGGCAGTTCCTCGTCCACAAGCGCTTCTCAGGCAACTGCTCAAGCCACCAACCTCCCCTCCTGCAGAGAGTGGGTTTTACCACCCCTACGCCAGCCTGGTCAGAGCAGTCCCAGCTTTCTAGCAAACACCAAATAAATAAGAGGTAGCGGGGAAGGAGGGACAGAGCATTCCCAAAGGAAAAGGATGGTCTCCATGGTGCCAGCTCCAGACTCCTCTAACAACAGACGTTTGTTCACACAGAACTTTCTAGGAAGCTTATCAGAACTGCCAAAAGAACGTAAGGGAGAATAAACAATTGTTTCTCTAGATCTGCTGCTTTAGAGGCTGCACTTCAGAACCAAAAAGCAGTGACAAAGTCTCGTGAAAAGCTTCCACATGAAGTTGACCAGCTTCGCAAGCTACATCCCTGTGGAAAGGGACAAGACCAGACTTACCTGCAACACCACCAATTACCTGGGCTAACGGAGAGCCAACCCATTCTCCGAGTTTCAGGAAAGGAGAGAGTGGTGTGTTAGACTCAAAGATTAAATTTGGCCTCATATTGCACAGGTTCAAAGGGCGCAACCATTGTGGGGGAAGGAAGAAAATAAAGCTACTGAGGAATGCAAACTGGCCCTCGGATTAGTCCACACTGCTGGGTAAATGAAAGACAGGCTGGGGAGTGGGCTGAGGGGAAAGTTAAGAGGCATTTCAATGCCAGATCCAAAAACCGTTCTGCGTTCAGTCAACTGTCAAAAGGACCTCCATCCCATTTCCACCGCGTGAGCTAGCCACCCAGACCCTGGAGACAGGAAAGCCTGGGAACGTGCATTCACACCTCCTGTTCTACGCCAGCAACCTGCAAGTTAACACTGAGTGACCGTCATCCTTCGCTGTGTTCATGATGAGTCTCGTTGTAGTCCATGATGTGCAGCTGTCCAACACTGTCCAGGTTCGGGGGGGAGGGGTGCGGGCCGTCGAGGTTCGGGGGGGTCTTGGCTTCCGCACCCGGGTCTTTGCCCAGTTCTGTCTTTAGCGTCTCAGAAAGGCTACTGATGGTCACGCTGTCCTCATCACACTGACTCTCACTCTTATTACGAAATAACTCTCGCGCCTTCATGCCCAGGAAGCTTTTTGAACTGGGAAGGGAGCCGACAGTCGTGGGGATGCTGGTGGCAGACTCTCCCACAGTAGTTTCCCACCGACTGCTGAAGAGGCCGGCCCTCTGGATGGGGGGTTTCTCCGGGGTTGAAAGCTCACTGCTGCTGCCACCACGGCCAGCTCCACCCCCTCTACTCGCACCGCCGGCCCGCGCGCTGCCGCCAGGTCGGGGGTGCTTGGTGTCGCCGTTGTGGCCAGATGCGTCTTCACTGTGCCCTGTTAGGGAATCCGAGCAGCCGTCCTTGCAACAGGCAAGCCTGTAAGAAATCCAGGGAGGAGAAGAGGGGCGGCATTGGCAGTGCCTGCGTGTGTGGGAGGCGTGCAACGACGCTGGCTCACGCAGACACTGAACTCTGTGCTTTTGAGTGGGGAACCTGAGTGGGAGGTCTCGGCAAGGGAAACCGAGTCTCAACGAGGGATGGGAGATGGAGATCGCACATGTGAGCCCTTCCTGTGACCACGATCCCGTGATCTGGGGCCAAGGACAGGGACGCAGAGAGACCCCCGGGCGGCCCTGCCCAAGCCAGTGGAGACGGCTTCTCACAGCCCGAGACACGGGCCCTGTTCTGCGGCTGGCGGCTCAGGGACAGGGCTGCAGCTCCCGCCTCTTTGTTCCTACCTTTCTTCTGCCGCTTCGGCTGCTTCTGCTTTTTCTTCTTCAAGTTTCTTCAGGAGGCTGTCCTTCTCCAATCTGCCATATAAATCTAAGATCTCCAACTCAAACACTTGGGTGATCCTTTTCTGAGCCTCATACCTGCTCTCTGCAGCCTGCAGCTGTCCTCTGAAACACAGACCACCCAGAATATAGGAAGCCCCACTGACAAAAAAAACCCACCACTGCAGAAATCCGTGCCCACCAGAGTTACCTCGCCTGGACTTTGACATCTTCTAAATATTTCTTCTGCTCCAAAAGAAGGTGGTCTTTCTTGGCCAGGTGAGATTCCAGTTCCAAAATCCGTTTCTGGGAGGTATCGAGCCTCTGATTCTGCTGGAGAAGGTGGCTTCTGTTTTTTTCTAGTTCTTTCCGACACGCAGCTTTCATCATTTCTACCTCCTACAAGAGGGGCCGGAGTTAGTCCCTAAGAAAACAAGTGTGCTACCTCCGTTGTGCGAAAGCAAGGCACTAAGCACTGAAAAGGCACTTTGGGGCACTGCTGCTGGAAATCTGAATTTGTACAACTTTCTGCAAAGTAAGCTGGCAAGAAGCATTCATCTAGCAACCCCTCCTTGAAATCTGCCCCCGAGGAAATCATGTGAAACACGACTAGACATTTTGGCACAAAAATAATCATTGTATCATGTTTAGAAGAGCAAAAAACTGGAAGCATTGTTAAGTCTAATGCCTGGAGAACAGTTAAGTGAGAATATAAAATACATTTTATATCTACAAGTTTTTAGTAAACTTACAGTTTATGTATCAGTAAAAAGATAAAAAAGCAAACTTTATATAAAACCACATGAACAGTAGGACCAACTATGTAAACACTGACATTCACGAACACCAAACGAAACTATACCAATATTCAGTTATTTCAACATAGTGGTGTCTTAGGTGATTTGTTTTCTTTTAGACTCTTCTCCCCTCACACCAAGGGAAAACTAGCAGGCGCAGCGCAGCGGGGCAGGCTTGCTCGGGCAACACTGCCCGTGTGGATCAGGCGCCCCGAAGCCCGCAGACCACGCCAGGCAGACGGCCTGCCTGCCCAAAGACCGAGCCAGCTGGATACCCAGAGCACGTGTGCACTCGTGCTCAGAAGAGACACGGAAATAACGCTCTTCTAACAAGCGTGTGTTACATTTGTATTGTGCGTTTTCACTGTGGTAAGGTATACGTAACATAAAACAGCGTAGGTTTGTTGTTTTTTTTTAAAGATAACAAACCGGGCGCCTGGGTGGCTCAGTTGGTTAAGCGACTGCCTTCGGCTCAGGTCATGATCCTGGAGTCCCGGGATCGAGTCCCACATCGGGCTCCCCACTCAGCAGGGAGTCTGCTTCTCCCTCTGACCCTCTTCCCTCTCATGCTCTCTGTCTCTCATTCTCTCTCTCTCAAATAAATAAATAAAATCTTAAAAAAAAAAATAAAGATAACAAACTCTCCACTCCTGCACACTCTCTTTCAACTAAATAAAAAATCTTAAAAAAAAAAAAAAAGAATAGAAAACAAACCATAAAAAGCAAGGAGATGAGCTTCCATGGAGGTGTCCCTGCCTCGAAGACGACCAGGGAATGCTTTCCTGGTGTGGAACTCCACAGAGTTAGGCTCAGGACTGGGCACCGGATCATGTGGCCATTCTAGCTGTGCTCAAGGGCTCCAGACGTCAGCACAGGTGAGGTGAACGAACCGGGCCTTTGTCATCAATGACAGTAGCTCTTTATAGAGACTCAAACCAGCTACTGAACTAGGAACATCCATGTGCCTCCATGAACCCTCACAACTACTGCAGAAGGTGTTACACCCAACACCTACCCACCCCCCCTCGTGCCCAACCTGATTCTCAGATACCACCCTGCCTCCCCCATTTGGACTGAATAAGAGGAAGCCTGACTCCAGGCCCAAGGGCAAATCCTGACAGTTTCAAGGCAATGACTGAGCTAGGGATGGGCATAAGACACAATCTTGGCCAAGAGCAAGGGTGGGAAGTCTGGGGGAGGGTTCCTGGCAAAGTTTCCTCACTGAGAGACCCGCAGGAAGTGACCTCTCCTCTTCCAGGGGAAATCATGGTGTCTACCTGTGACTGCCATTCCTACGGCACACACCTTGCAACCATCGGCACAGCTAGCTGGAGGACAAGGTTGCCAGGAAAGGTCAGGTGGCGCAGAAGAGTGGAAAAAACTGGGTGTTTTGTTTTTGTTTTTTAAGTAATCTCTATGCCCCACATGGGTTCGAACTCACAACCCTGAGATCAAGGGTCACATGCTCCTTCCTGTCTGTACTCTTGATCTCAGGGTTGTGAGCTCAAGCCCCACGTGGGGAATAGAGATTACCTAAATAAATTTAAAAAAAAAATTTTTTTTAAACTTTAAAATATTAAAAAAAAATTTTTTTTAAAGATTTATTTGAGAGAGAGAGAATAAGAGACAGAGAGCATGAGAGGGGGGAGAGCCAGAGGGAGCAGCAGACTCCCCGCTGAGCAGGAAACCCAATGCGGGACTCTCTGATCCTGGAACTCCAGGATCATGACCTGAGCCGAAGGCAGTCCCTTAACCGACTAAGCCACCTGGGCGCCCAATATTAAAAAATTTCTAAATAAAGAGGGGCATGCTCTATGGACTGAGCCAGTAAGGCGCCCCAGAACTGGGCTATTGGATGCTGTCCCTAAACCGCTGACTTGGCCAACCTGGAACTCACCTACTTTGGGACTTCTTGTCAAGTGAGATAGCAAAACTTCTTATTGTTAAGTTGGGTTAGTGGATTTGTTGTTCCTGCTTACAACCACAGGCATCCTAACTGCTACAAGTCAGGGTCATCACGTCCATTCAGGGACCGTGAAACAGGGCCCAAAGAGGTCAGGTGGCTCCAAGAGGCCCCAGGAGTCTAAGTGTTCCAGCTGAAGAGGCCGGCCCAGCTGCCTTCTCTCAGGAGATGTGAGGAATGCGTTTCAGTCAGCATTTTCAGAGGTTCTCCTGTCTCTTTGGCCTATTTTCTCCTCATTCTTTTCCACACCCATTAAACCTCCAAAATGAGTGCTAGCTGGTTTCTAGAAAGTTCCACATTTAACACCCTTCTAAAGGGAGTCTGAATCTGAGAGCTAAGAGGAGCTGAGAAATGAGTAACTCTATTATGAAAATTACATGTCTCTACTTCTAAGACTACTTTCTACATTTGACCAAAAAAGCTTTACAAAGCACAAGCCCAAGAAATCCTAAAAAGAAAGCCTGTGTGTGATGGAGAAGTTAGTGACAGGCAGCATCTGAGCATTTACTATTAAAATTCCATTCCAACTCATTCCCAACTCATTCACTAACATTACCCGAGGGTATTTATAAAGTGACATAAAACTTCTGCCTCAACACCACTGGTGAGACACTAATTAGCGTAAGATCATCCCCATGCTGGCCTTGTTGCCAGGACTGAACCACCATCTGCTGAAATTAAATGCAACATTAAACGGAAGAAAAAATATGTATACTAGCGTATACCCACAGTCCCGAGAGTTATGTTCAACAGAACTGGCTCCCTATCCTTTCTTTCTCTGTCTCTCTCTCGCAGCCGGCCCCGGTAAGAGAAGACAAACCCTTTATCAGCTACTCTGTACCAATTACCGTGAGGTGCTTTCCCTTACCCCTGACCTCATCTCAAAGCGAGCCAACTACGGGAAACAAGCTTGCGCGACGGCTGAAGAGTGTGCTCATCCACCAGGCCGCATCTCGGGAAACATTCCATGTGGCATGACAGGCACGCTGCCTGTGTCCTATGGGCTCCCTGCCCCGGGGTGTCGCTCCCCGAGCCCCCACATACCTTTGTGGTGTCTGAGTGTTTGCTCTGCAGTTGTTCCAGATACAACTCGTTGACCTCTCCAAGGACCAAGAGCTGCCGGTTCAAGAACTCCATCTGCTGCTGGACCGACTCACTGTTTGAGAGCTAACCAAAACACAGGGCGGGCAAAGTGAGGGCCCCCGTAGCCCACATCTGGCAGATGGGCATACACGGGGGCCTGCTAGCAACTCCGGGTTCCACTGCTAGGGGACAATAAACTCCCACGGTTTCAAATCCCCGAACACAACGGCTGGTGGGGAGGAAGGCGTCCAAAGGCAACGACAACGGACAGAAATGCACTTCAAAATGGTGCTGTGCAAAAGGGAAGCCACGGAGATTCGCTACAACAAAGTGGCCACCCCCAGAAGGCCTGCAGAGGACGGGCGTGTGTGACCATCACTGCAGGGACACAAGGTCCAGGGTTCAAGCCCAGAAAAATGCACTTGTTCGTAACTGAGCCGTACAGAGTGCGGTGAATCCCAAAAAGGGAGGGATCCTAGCTCAGGAGCTTTGTGTGAACAAACTTCCCATGTTTATGTAAATGAGGATTTAAGAAAGAGTGCCCTGGGTGCACCCACAGACCCGGGTGCAGGCTGGGTAGTTCCCCACTGCGGAACCTGTCCTGTGCGTTGTGGATTGGGTAGCAGCACCCGGGCCCCCGCCCACTTGATGTCAGCAGCACCCAAACTGCCCCCACACATTGCCCCTTGTCCCCTGGGGGGTGGAGCGGGGAGGCCACCTCGCTCCGGGTTGGGAACCGCAGCTGGAGGCACACAGGTAACGCACTCGCCCGTCTGATGGAAGGACGTCAGGCAGAGGTGCGAGAGGAGGCCCAGCCTGGCCCGTTTCGTACCTTCTGGGCCACCTGGCTGAGCAGCAGCTCCGTGTGGCACACCTTGCTGTTGGCCTTCTTCAGTTCCAGACGCAGCTCTGCGATCATGTTCCTGCAGTCCTCCAGCTTCGTCTGCACAAGGAGACATGCCGGGACGTTACACAGCAGCCCCCGCCAGGGCGCCGGGCCGTCGGCCCACGGACAAGTGGGGAAGCCCAGCTTCTCAGTTGCTCTACTATTCGTGGGCCACTGGGATTTAGTTCCTTAGTTTTAAAAATTAAGTTAAGGCTGATTTCTGAGTTCCTGATTTGTTTAGCAAAAGAACAAGAAGATCTTACATCGGCTGTCCCCAAACTGTGCACCGAAGAGCCCCGGGGCTACACAGCCAACTCACAGGGGTGCCACGGGGAGATGTTAAGTTTTTGAGGGAAACGCAGTGACACCTGTCGGTCGTCATGTGAACTGCGAACTGGAGACGGTTTATATAGTGAGTGGCGGACGTGCTTGTGTGTGTGTGTGTATGTGTGTATGTGTGTGTGTGTGTGTGTGTGTGGATGATGTCGTTCTGCAAAGCAGGGTTCGGGTGTTTGCTGGGATACAAATCACCATGTGAATACCAGTGTCAGTGTCCAATGTGACTCCAAGGTCTGAGCTTCTCTGTGGTGCCCAACTGGGACACACACAGCACTGGTAAGTTATTGTGGTCGTTTAAAAACAAAACCTAAAAAAAACCTTAAATTTAGGTGTATTGTTTGCAAGCAGCTGCTGAGTTGTCGGACGTATACTAAGTGTTTAGATCTGCTTAATAAGCACAACCATCAGGTGTTTCTTTTGGCTGCAGACTGCCAGGGAAGTGACCGAACACCATGGGAGCTACACACAACCCGAGAGCTGGGGAACCTCTGCCCTACATGCGTCTGTGTGCCGCCGCGTCAGAGAGAAAAGCCCTTCGTATCCCGCCGGGCTGAGCTAGGCGCTTTCGTGCCCTCTCCCAGCTGCCCGGGCCTGGCACCCCCGCGCATACCTGCAGCTCCTGGCTCTGGTTGTAGAACTCCTCCCGGTCGTGCTGCAGCTGCCGGATCTGGCTGTGGAGCTGGGTCACCATCGTGTCTCGCTGCTCCTGCAGCTGGCTGCACCGGGCCTGCTCCTTCTGCACGCTAACCTTCCAGATCTGGATGTCCTTCTCTTGTAACTTCAACTGGTCTTTCTAGCGGAGACCAAAGACATGATCATTTTAGCTGCCTTCCAATGCGGGCGGGGAGGCGCCAGTGTCACCCAGGCCGACAGCCACACGGCGTGAAGCTGTAACCGCAGGCGCCGCATCCGTCAGCTCATGACTGTCCAGCCTGACTGGCGGGCAAGGGTTACCAATTTCACAGCAGCACATGGGTCGTAAGCTGCTAGAAGAACTTTCCTCAGGCGCCAATTACTCCCAACACCTTCCCAAGTCCTAACCACCAGCGCTGGCATAAGACCTCTAATAAATGGTATCCATCCAGGTCACTAAAAATGAGGAACGTTCACTGGCTGCCTACCCAGACGCTGAGCAAGTGGTTATGTGACTTCTTTAGGCACCATGGTTAGAAAGTGGGTGCTGTTACTATTCATGTTTTACAGAATGGGTAACAGAGGCTGCAAGAGGCTAAGTTACTTTCCTAAGGTGAGAAGTGGCAGAGCCAAGGTTCAGCCTCCAGGTCTGACTGGCTTCTCCACCGTGCTACAAGATTTTTGCCATAAAATAGCTTCAGGAGAGCTGGTTTCGTATTTAGAGAAACAAAATAATGCCTCTGACTCTGTGATCATCATGGGCAATTACAAACACACACAAAAATCACTTGTCCCATGGTTTCCAAGGGCGGCAAGGCCATTCGGAGACCCGGCCAGTGCCATCAGCCGCAGAGACCAAGCGACCACCCCGAGCTGCAGTGGAGAGCAGAGCTAGGACTGAAAAACTGGGCCCCGGCTCAGGGGCCGCTCTTTACCAACAATCATGCTGACACCAAACAACAAACACCGAAATGCACCCTCCTGCAGCCTCCGCGACACTCACCATAGCAGCGTTGTGTTCCTCCAGCGCCGCCGCCCTGATCACCTTGCGGAGGAGCCGCCTGTTCCGGAGAGCATGCTGCTGCCTCTTAAAACGCTCATAGAGTAACTGGTTGTGCAGTAAAAGCAACTGGTTACGGAGGGTGCGGATCTCATCTGAGGGAGGAGAGCCTGATTTTAAAGCAGAGGGAGGGTGGCAGAGATGCCTTTTACAGATGGTTCCATCAAGACCCTCCCACGGTTAGCTAGCCTAAGAAACACAATTCTCCCAGAAACAAGCCGCCACTCCCTCTGCAAACAGTCACCTGGGTCTCAGCGACGGTCATGCAGCAGGAGAGGGGGAAGAGGACCGACTATCTAGCTCTCCTTTAAAGGAGCACAAAAGGCTAGAACGTAGGAGGGCTCCCGAGAGCTTCACGGACTTTTCCCACAGACCCAAACCATACGCCCAGTTAGTCAAGGCTCCTCTCTTCCCTCCCATGCTGTGTCCTCCCCCAGGCACAGCCCCAGCCACCGACCTCGTGGCGTCTTTTCTAAGAAAGCCCGGCACGAGGTCAGTGCTTTCTGCGTTTTCAGCCTCGGGCACCTGCTAGATGCCACTTTTCAAAAGTAGAAAATCCTGGCTTTGCAACATTTGAGATATTAGGGGCCAAGCAGACTCTGGCTAGAGCAGCAGCAAATGGGGGACCTGTTCCTACAGGGCACGCCTCCTTCGAGGACAGAAAAGGTGACAAGCACGTAGGATCCACACGGGCCGGTCTGGAGCACAAGTAACAACTTTACCTCCAAAGTGGGTCCAGTCAACAGACTTGCTGGGTAAAGACAACCTAGGAAGAAAGGTTTGGGGGAACAAAGTTACCAAGCTTGCCTGAACAACCTTCTCTGGACTGTGCATTGCCGCAAGGCCAGATCACTTCCTTGTGGTCAAAAGCAGCAACTGTGTAAGAAAGTTTCAATCCCCAGGTCCACGGGGAATTAGAGGAGGCAATGCGCATCGGACGGAGGGCCGGCACCCCCACCGAGCATGACCAAGTCTTCAGGGTGCGCATGCCCTCCCTCGGAGCTCGCGCCGGGGCCAATCTTTGCTCGGCTCACCAAGGCGACGGAGTGATCAACAGACTGCCAGCTATTTTCAACCCTCTGCACCGAAATACATGGGGGGTAGCCAAGCTTAAGGAAAAAGGAGGTAATGTACCTGAGCCCGTTATACCAAATCTCAAAGAGAGAAATCTCTGTCAAATTCCACCTGAGGTTATTACGTTGAAGAAAAATTAAAACCAAGGCCTTATTTAGCAAGAGCCGAGGATTCAAACTCAGGAACTGGTGATGCCCTTGCCCCCCTCCTAGAGAACCAGTGAAAAGGGCAGGAGTAGAAGGGTTGGAACAGCAGCTCAGACAGGCCTCTCAGAGGCAAGCCTGTGTGCAACTGCGGGCATGGAGGGTGGGCAGGCCCCCCGGATTGCCCTGAAATGCTGCTGACTTTACTTTCCATCTGATGAGCCATGTTACCTAAACAGAAAAAACAAACCTGCAGCTGGAGAAGGACACACCGGGACAGAGACTCCTAGGTCCCCTGAGTACCAGAGCCTCACCCTCACGTTCTCGGGGCACGGGTAAGCACGCCCGAGTGCCCTGGCAGGACAGCGCCAGGGACTGGCGGCCCAGTGCAGACATGGCACAGCCCCACACGCGTGCAAAGGTTAACGACTGGAAGGACAGAGGGAAGCCCCCCGCCCCCCTCAGTGGAGAACGAGTCCCCTGCACCTGCCAGACTTCACCCTGAGGGAATGTTGAGGGAAGAGACGTGGCGGCAGGGCCTTACTTGTTCAGCTCCTTGCTGTGCGCATCTGCTCCCTGCTGGATCAGTCTATCCAGGACTTCCGCGGGGGAGGTTGAGGGTGGATAGTCTTCTTCTGCATTTCCTTTTGCTTTCTTTAACAGTTCCTTGGTCTTCTTGCTGACAAAATGATGGGCGGTCTTTGGCAATGCCACCTCAAAAAGATGATCATAAGGGGGAGGCTGCCCACTTCCATACCCCACTCCCCTCTGAGGTGGAATTTTACAAGGGCTGGGAGTGAGGATGTTGGTCTCCAGCGAAGTCTGGTGCTCCCTGTTCCCGGCAGGGCTTTCGTCGGCGCCTCCACAGGGTGGGTCTATGGGAGTAAAGGCTTGCTTTGGTGTGTCAGGCCCAAGCTTGTCCAGGGAGGAGTTTAAAGGCTCGGGGTTCACATTGGCACCCTGAGCACCAGAGGTGGCCGAATGGTTCTTGCGAGGACAGCCCGGAAGACTGTCCCGGTAGAAGGGAGAGTCAAAGCCTCCTCGAGGAACCAGGGGCTCGGTGTCGGCCGTCGTGATCTCGGAGAGTTCTTTAGATATCGCCGCTGAGAGGAGGGAGGGAGACAAGAGACACCACTGTAAACAGGCCATCTGGGTAAGGCCGGGCCGTGCGGGGCTGTGTGCTGCCAAGGACCACCCCTTTCCCTGCACAGGACCCAGAATAAAACTCCCACCTCCCTCCCCCAAGAGGAGAAAAACCAAGCGAGCCTGGGAGTGTTGACACTAAATCCCGGCTTCAGGGCCCCGTGAGAGCTTTTCCATCTCGCAGCAATCTTGTACAAGCCCGGAATCCCACACACTACCTTCTTCTCTAGCTTTCTCAATGCTATCTTCTTCAGAGGCCAGGTCCCCTAAAAACCCTGGAAGGTCACTTAGAGTGACAGAACCTTTGCTGCCAGGTAGCTCTTCTAAAGAGAAACAAAGACAATTCAAGTCAAAGAACCACACAGGTAACCCCCACAACTGTGAAACCACTTGCCCCGCGGTGATGGCATCCATAACGGTTCTTCCCGCCGAGTGAAGGGAGGAGGCTAGAAACGGCTCTCCCCTGGAGCAACCCCAGAAAGCGAGGCTACCACAAGGAGTCTAAGCAAAGGGACCAAAAACCATAATCCCACAAAAAATAAAATCCTCCATTCTTAACATCTCAGAGATCAGATAAACACCACAGTCTGACCAGCTCAAAACACAGGTAACAGGTACTTCACTGCAATCGCTTAAAAGCTTTTTCTGATGTTATTATTAGGTTGGTTTTTAGAATTAATTACTCCTCATTATATCTGGGCTTCATCGTTTTGTGGTGGTCCTGAATTTTCTTATTTGCACACATAACCCAAGTGGAGACAAGCAAGGTCTAGGGTTACCCAAAGACTTTACCTAATCCTCTGTCGTTTGGAAGATGGTGCTGTCTGTGTAGACAGGGCCTTGCTGAATCTGTTTTCTCTTCCTGAAAAGATAGTACCATTTACGTCACAAGGCAGGATATTGTGTACGCATTCTCTTGTGTAAGAGACATATCCTAAAAATCTAAAACTTTAACATTATAAAGGAGTTTAAAGTTCAGCTCAGTGGTTCTCAAACTGTTTGGTCTCAGGGTGCCTTCTTAGTCTTAAAAACCGAGAGTCCCCTGAGCTTTTATTTATGTGGTTCTAACTACTGATAGTTACCACATTAGAAATCAAAACAAACGTTTTAAAAATATTTACCAATTCACTTAAAAATAACAAACCCATTATCCATAAATATAAGTGATATATATTCTTATGAAAAATAACTACAGTTCCCAAGACAATAAAAACAAATTTAGTGAGAAGAGTGGAATTGTTCTACATTTGTGCCAGCTCTTCCGTGTCTGGCTTAATGGAAGAACGCTGGATGCTCAGCTCTGCCTCTGCACTCAGTCAGTTGCACTATGTTATTTTGGCTAAAGTATATGAAGGAACTTCTGAGCCCCAGTGTCAAGTAGTTTAAAAAAGACTTAATCTTTGACGACTTGACAAGGAGTCATTTCTTAGAGGTTATAGTGTGGAATCTGAAACCAGGACATTTCACCTTTCATGCTGCGTTCAAGACCGCTGGTGTACTCTGTGCTCTGAATGCACCTTTCACCTACGACGGCTCTGGAACATCGCACACTGGACTTTTAGAAGATCCTGGCCAGCCACGTTGGGCAGGGTTTCCCAGTGTGGAAATATTCACCACATGACATCAAAAACTCGATTATTCACCAAGCTCCCCAGGACTTTTCAACCTCTTCATAAAAGTCTCGGAACACTATCAAGCTCACAGTGACAGAGATTGGGTTTTTCATATTCTAATTTCACCTGAAACCTGAATTTTACCATCAGAAGCAAACACCGTCCGTTGTTTGTTTTGAAGTGACAGCTGGTCATGTAAGCAGTAGCCTGCCCCATACCTGGGTCTAAATAAGCATCGTTTGTCAGTCAGTTGTTCCTTCACGAAAAATGCAGCTGGTCTAGCAATCAACTCAAGTCACGGCACAAAGGTTTGTGATGGATCCCCTACTTTAGCTCAAAGAATATTAAGCATGTATGTTCTCAAGGGTTGCAATAGAATAAAATGAATCATTTTTACTGTTTTCCACGGAACACTCTTAAGGTACCGGTGTTTTGGGCTTTTTATCTTTCGTCCTTTTAAACTGAAGACACACGTCAAGGAAGAAGGCGATGCGCCCCGGGCAATTTGGTGCCGGCCCTGATCTGCGCTGGGGGCCAGCCCTTCTCCTCCACACTGCTCTGCACCATGAGAGCAAACGCCAACGTGGTCAGGAGGGCAAAGAGGTTAGTATTACTATGAAAGCGGTCAAGCTCCTGGGTCCCCAGAAAGGCTTCTGGAGCCCCAGGGGTAAGCAGATAACACTGTGAGAGCTGCTGGCTAGTCTATTATCAGTTGCCCTGCTCCAAACCCATCACATCTCAGGTCCAAATTCCATCTGACATAACAAGCTTCCTTCCCCAAGTGAGGCCACACACGGGTCACTATGCTGGGGCAGAGGGAGCGCAGACATGCCTGCACATACCTTCTTGGGGGGTGTGGCTGTGGCGTGCCGGAGGGCAATGTGCACGTAGTCGTCCGAGTGGCAGAGTGGGGCGGGAGGAGGAGACGTTGCTGGGGTTCCCAGAGGAGTTCCTTTTCCACCTGCTCACAGGCAAGGACAACATATACACCATCACCAAGCCTATTAAAAAACTCTGAATTTTTTCAGCCTGCCTGGGACAATGAAGAAAGCTGCTAGAGTGAACTTTCTAGGGAGCTTGAGCCATCTTTTTTGGAGGGGGGGTTTAGAACTTCCTAGGTTCTAAAAACCCCAGGGTTTTGCATGAAGTGTTAAAAACAGGTTGACTACTGTAAGCAGCCCCAAACTCACTGTTGGATCTAAGAGACAGTTCCTTGTCATACACATCAGGCCCAGACCAACCAACTGAATCCCACCTCAGACATACATACCAGTTGTACCAAAGACTTTACTGTAAGGGTGTGACAGATCAGATGGGACATTTCCAGGAGAAGTTGGAGGAGTGGTCATACCACAAACCATAGATGGGCTCCAAAGAGTAGCCTGGGAAATTAATAAGGCATGTCAGCAATAAGAAATGAACACCAAATCATCCCCAAGGCTTATATTCATGAGCGAATGGAAAAAGGTATATTAAAACTTTATTATGAGGCAAGATGCATTTTGTAAATCTAGACTCCAAGAGAAACCCAAGTGGCAATAGTAACTAACTTTCCTAATACCATGTACCCTTAAAAACCACTCCTAAATTGAGCAGTGTAAGATTTTCCCAACCGTATGCTAAATCCCAACCCAAACAGCTTCACCAGCAAGCAGGAAAGCGAGCAGGCACACTCTTTAACACCATACTTGTGGCGGCTCAGTCAACAGCCGTGTCGATGGGGGACTCAGAGTCTGAGGTGGCTGCCCGGGCATGTTTAACAACATCAGCCAAGAGCTGGAATAAGGGGTCGAGGTAGCACTCCCTAAAATGAAAGGGAAAGAGCATGTGAGATTAGTGTGTGATTTTAGATTATTCTGGAAAAAAAAAATTATGGCCCTCTAAACCGTTCGATAATGTTCATATTATCAAATTATCGATGTCAGGGAACTCTTGACATCCCAGGGACAAAGTAACATTTGAATGGCTCTTTAAATGCTCTTTGGAAATAGTTCAGTAAGGTGGTTTTTTTGTTTTGTTTTTAAGTTTTATTTATTTATTTTGGGGGGGAGGGGCAGAGTGGGAAAGAGAGGAAGAGAGAAAGAATCTCAAGCAGACTCCCACTGAGTGTGGAACCCAACTCACGGCTCAATCCCAGGACCCTGAGATCACAACCTGAGCCTAAATCAAGTCAAACACTCAACTGACTAAGCCACTCAGGCTCCCCAAGTTCAGTATGATTTAATGTCAAGTTAAGCTTCAGAATAACTTGAAAAAGCCCGGCCTGGATGACACCTCTAATGGGTACTACCTACAGATAAGCCCGCCTTTTCTAGAAACCAATTCTAAATTGTCCAGACTCAAACTGTATCAGTGAGTGCTACAGCCTGGAGGCCCCACTGCAAGCACCTAAAACATAGAAAGACTCGGATGGGGTGCTGCCGGGAAGTTGAATCCTCAAGTCCATATTCCTTTTTCTGTGTTAAAAACCCACCCCCAAGTCCGCTGGCATACTGTCGGGTAGGCTCTGAATTAAACTTGAAAGAGGGGTTAATCAGGAGAAACTGGAGGCAAATTCTAATTTCCAATATTTGGCAAACAGTTCCTAGGAGTGACAGTGAGTCTTATCCCAGGAAAAGAAAATAAAGTTGACATAAATGAGCCACGCTTTCCAGAGACGAAGCTGGGAAGCAGGTAAGTGCTGAGGTCACTCTTACCACAGCTATTCTGCGTGTCGACATAAGGGCTGGCGGCCACATCGGCCGCACGATGAGGAAAGCGCGCGGACACCTGCGGGGACACAGAGTCGCCGTCTTCGTACGAGGCTTCTGCGGGGTCCAGAGAGATTTTGGCACACTCTATTACAACATCATGTGTTTCTAATCTCTTCCACCTGGAAGAGGCAACGATAATTAAGAAAGGCAAGTTGGAATCCATTTACTCAAACAACCAAACCCTTAAGAATGCTAACGTAAGGCCAGGCATGGAACTAGGATTAGCGAAGGACAAGGCAGAACCCTGCCAGCCCAAGTATTAAACAGTACTGGTATATTAAGAATCAGCCATTCATTTTACAAACCTCTACCTTCCCTGTCTAAAATGGTCATATCAGGTTATCAGAAACTAACCTGAACTGAAAATGTCATCAACAAATGACTGGGCATAGCCTCAAAAGGGCACAAACTACACCAAGCAGTCACCAGGGGGACTTCTCCCTCAGAACAAAGGTTATCAAAGAACAGGGAGACCTGGAAAATGTCAGGTAGCTGAGGTGGATTTATAGTCTATCAGAGCCTAGGGGCTTCTAATCCATCTCTAGACAGGAAATACGGCGCAGAAAGACTCAAACCTAGAGAAAGCCCACAAGGACATTTTTTAAATCAGCCAAAGATTCCTGTCATATGATCCACAGTTCCACTTCTAAGATTTAGCCTGTGGAAATCGACATACGTCAAGACAGACAACAATGCTCAGCACAGCTTGTCACAGAAAAAAAGAAATAACCCAAAGTCACACCAAAGGGATATATTCTATAGAAGAAAAATTGTTACACCATCATGAAAAAGCATGCTCTCAGCAGGTCACTGGTTGCCAAGTGTCAGGAAGGAGACTGACCACAAAGGACAGAGAGGAACCTTGTGGGCAGTGATACATTCTTTATCATGAGTGTGACTTTTGTCAAAACTCAACAAAACTGATGAATCTTATTGTATGTCAACTATATCTTCCTAAGCTGATTTTAAAAAATCATGTTTTCAAAGATTCAGTGATTTAAGATGGTCAGGGTATGAGCTTCAATGAATAAAGGGATTCGAAACTACTCAGAGATATGCCCACAGAGAGAGATGACGACACTGAGTGTTCAAATTAAAAGAACTGAAGTTATGGGTGATGTTCTTTTCCTTTCTAGTATTTGCCAAATGTTCTACAAAAGCCCTAGTAATTAATACAGCATGCACCTGCTCAAGTATAAACTTTTGAGACAACATAATTTTGCTATCCAGGTTTCTAAGTAAGTAGGAATCTAGCAAGACTCTCATCTTCATGTTCCAAATTTCACAGAAAAACAGCCCAGGACTAAGGGCATGCCATGGGTTTACCCCAACAAAACATCTACTCCTCAACTGTTCTAGAAAACTCATCATTCAATCTGAGATACTGAAAATATGATATCAAATACAGAACAAGAGAGTCCTCGAGCATGGGCAGCATTCCTAAGGGAAAAGCCTTTTGACATCAGCACCGCACCTCTGGTCTGCGTGGGTGCTCACTGCCTGGGGTACCTGTGTGTGTTAAGGGCGGTAGCCTCCCCAAGTGTTCTCGACACAACCAGCAAGGGATGAAGTGAGAGCAAGGGTCAGGATGCTTATGTACCCACAGGAGCATCGCTTTTAGAGAATAAAGTGAAACTCACAATACAGTAGCAATACATTAAATGTCTGATTTATATGCACTTTTTTACGCTATTTCCTTGATTCTTAAAAGGACTTTTCCCATTTAATGTCTCTGAAACTGGGAAGTCATATCTAATCAGGTGTGTGTGTTAGTTTTTGTGGCATTTTTTTCTTTCTCAGATGGACATAAAATAGAAGTACTCCATGGCATCTTGCATTTAATGAAATACAGTAGTTTAAAAAGTCAATTAAAAGGTCCCTCCCATGCCATTCCCCTCAACCACTTTGGCAGCTGCTTCTGATCTGTTGGCTGAACTGGTACCCTGCCTGCATATTTTTAAAGAATACGCCCTACGCTCTGAATTTCCAGATACACAGATTGTACCCATCATCTACTGACTTCTATTACAGTCAGTGAGGATGCAGGCCACTTCCGTATATCCTTCTCCCTCCTCCCTGATGCTCTCAACAGACGTGTATCATAGATTCATTTCCTTCAAAATCAGTTTTCAATGATTATTAGGACTATGCAAATACTATGCATGACTGAGCCAGAGTGTACTACAAGATTTCCTTTTCTGTTAGATTTAGTTTGTCCTGGAGTTTGGATTTTTGTTTCTTTTCCTCAGTCCTCTGTGTTTCTATTATAATTCTTCGTAAACTTACCCTAACAGTTCTGAAACAATGCCTGATATAATTTTTACATAACGATATGCAAATAAGCTACTGGAATTATCCCCCCCCCACTAGCTCCCTTCTGGAGCCTTCTCTCTTCCACTTCTGTCGAGACTGGTTTGTTCTGAGGGCTGCTGTGCAGTGTTACCTTAAGACTTCCCGTGACCATGATCCTAAGTCAAGTCCCCTTGTTTCCTGGACTCTGTCTCACCAGATTCTACTCTCATTTTGATGGAACACATGCCCCAGTAGTTAGATGAGCAGGGGTCCATGAGAGGTAAATGAGAGAGGGGTCCATGAGAGCAGGGGTCCATGAGAGGTAAACATATGCCCCAGTAGTTAGATGGGCAGGGGTCCATGAGTCGCTGGACGGCGACTGTGTGCCCAGGTACTCATATGATGTTATTACACTTTACCTTGACAGGCAGTTTGGCTGGGTCTAGAATTCTATGTTGAAGACCTTTTTGTCTCAATCAGTTTCAGAAGCTAATACCATTCTGACCTGATTCTTAATTAAGCATTTTGGTCTTCTCTCTCTGAAAGGTTTATCCCTGGTGTTTTGAGATTAACCACACTGAGACTTGGGAGCATTCTCTCTCACTGACAGAAGCTCGGCGCCAGGTGAGACCCTTCAATTTGGAAACACGTGTCCTTCGATCCTCCCATTGTTATATTTCTTTGTATTTTTCACACTTATACTGGAAATTTTCTTCTATTATGTCTTTTACAATTTCTTCCCCCAAGAAAGTCTTCTCCTCTCTTTCTAAAGCTCTTTTTTCTTGGATGTTGGACTTCCTGTATTTTAAGTTTCTTATCACTGCCCAGAATACTCATCTCTATCCTTTGATTCTGCTTTCTGAGATAGTCTTAACTTTATCTTCCAGTTCTTTTGTTGAAGTCTTGACTTCAGCTCTCATATTTCATTTTCAAGGCTTTTGTCTCTGAATGTTCCCCCCCATGGCACTGTGACCTCTACATGTGCTCAAATGCCCCATTTCAGTGGCTACTACAGATACTTTCCTCCTCTCTCTGTATTATCAGTTTCTTTCTAACTCCATTTTCTCTTTATGTTGGTCTTTTTTTTTTTAAGATTTTTATTTATTTATTTGACAGAGAGAGAGACACAGTGAGAGAGGGGACACAAGCAGGGGGAGTGAGAGAGGGAGAAGCAGGCTTCCCGCTGAGCAGGGAGCCCAACGTGGGACTCGATCCCAGGACCCTGGGATCACAGCCTGAGCCGAAGGCAGATGCTTAATGACTGAGCCACCCAGGCGCCCCCCCTTTTTTTTAAAGCTTTTATTTATTTGAGGGAGAGAGAGCAAGCACACAAGTTGGGGTGGGGGGGAAGACAGAGGGAGAAGCAGACTCTCCGCTGACAGGGAGCCCAACGTGGGGCTCGATCCCAGGACCCTGGGATCATGACCTGAGCCGAAGGCAGACGCTTAACTGAGCCACCCAGGCGCCCCTATGTTGGTCTCTTGTCTTTTGTGTTAGAGCTTTCTTCAAAAGCCAGATGACCCCTGCCTACCCATGGGAAGCGAGGCTCTCTAAGCTGGCCTGGGAGACTTCCAAGTTAGTCTGACAGACTGAACATAGGCATCCAATTGTATAACCTCCCAAATCCACCAAATCTACAGTATGGACTCGTTTGTTTTTAAATATAAACCTATGAAAAGGAGAAGAATGGGGGAAGACAGATCGGCACTGCAGGCTCCTGAAACTAGAAAGCAGACAGGCCAGAGGCAACCTATGCAGCAAATCCAAGAACGCAGAATCCTAAGCTCCCATTGTTTCAAAGCTAAAAGTCACCCTGACTTATACAGCAGAATCCTTAAAAAGCTAAAGAATTTTCGCACCTCAAGTGCTTCTGGAACTGTAGATGAGCAACAGGTAGATGAGGATGGCTAGCCTAGGGAAGACAGGGGGAAAACTATTTGAGGGTCAGAGTCCCAGGGTCTCCTCCCCGACTCTATGCTCCCAGGCAGCAGAAATCTGGGCTATTCTCTGGAAAGAGTAAAACAGATTTTCGGGACCGAGCTACTCCAGAAATAGTTGAGGACATGAGTACCATTCAAGCAAGGGATTTAAGTGAGCATGTACATTCTGAATGCCAAGACCACTAACCTCTCTCACCACTAGCCTCTTCCCTCCAGCAGCAGCCAGACCCTCCCCAGACTAGCGATTAGAAGACCCTTCTCTACAAAAACTTGACACGATAGGAGGAACACGATACTGACATCAGGATCTCCAATAGACGTTCAGACCCGTGGGCATGCACATGCATGCGCACACACACACACGGCAAGCTCAGAGGCGACAAGTCCCACCCCTGTGAAGAGAGCTTTTTGGTCTCCCTACCCAGACACAAGCAGATATCAGATCTTTGCAGAAAGCCTAGAAGACTTCAAAAGAACAGCAGTCCATGGATTACATGGGGAACAAACGGCTCTCAGCATTCTTGAGGATGTGAGAGGTTGCACCCATGAAACCCCAAACAAGCTACTACAAGAAGGAGCATTCAGAGACCTATAAAATACTCTTAGATGCTAAGAACATGGCTCTAGGAGGGAAACTTACAACAGGATTAAAAGCTAAAGATGAGGAGACCTTCAGAAAGAACAAAAGAGCAGAGAGAAAAAAACAGAAGAGCAAAGAAAAGCAGAGGACACTTTAGGAGGCCCCCATCTACATACCAGCAATTCCAGAAAGACAGACAGACACAATGGAAGGAAGGAAATCAAACACGAGATAACTAAAGAAAATTTCCTAGAGCCTGAAGATAAGAGTTTCCAGATTAAAGGAGAACAGATTCTGACTAGGCAATGTCGGAATAAGAGGAGAACGAAGAGAGGGCTCTACGGCTCCCATAGAGAAAAACAGGGCAAGTACAGACATGCAAAATGAGAAGAGCTTTGGATTTCAACAGCAACACTGGCAGCAAGATGCGATGGCACAACGTCTTCAGGCTGCAGAATGAGGGGGACCGGAAGTCTGTACCCAGCCACATAACTGCTTCCTTTCTCTGAGAGCTACTAGAGGGTACACTCCACACAAACAAAAGCAAACCCAGAAAAGAGACAGGAGACACAGGGAATGGGCAGTCCTGCACAGGAGAGATGCAGAAGACCACCGTGCACGAGGCACAGATCCGACAGGCAGGCCAAGAGACAGGCGCATGGCAGGCTGTCACACTCGTCCCCACTGCCACTGCACTTTTTTATTTTTTTTTAAAGATTTTTATTCATTCATTTATTCGAGAGAGAGAGAAACAGCATGAGAGGGGAGAGGGTCAGAGGGAGAAGCAGGCTCCCCGCTGAGCCGGGAGCCTGATGTGGGTCTCAATCCCAGGACTCCGGGATCATGACCCGAGCCAAAGGCAGTCGCTTAACCAACTGAGCCTCCCAGCCGCCCCACCGCACTATCTTCTTAACGGAGGGACGCAGTGTGCAGGTGATCCCAGCCCGGACAGGTTGTCTGTACTTAGTCTGTCCTGAGTAAGCACTGATGAAGGCCCTACTCTCCCTTCTCCGCCTGGATCAGCTCCACAGATGGAAGCTGCTCTGACCTGCTCCTGGAAGTGGGCCACCATGAGCTGAGAAGCAGCAAACGAGCAGTCTTTGTCCTCTGCCATATTTCAGCAGCACATCCAGAAGCCAGCCTCGCTACAGGCCCTGTGAGATGCTCTGACTAGGGTGAGCATTCTATGTCTCAGGTCTTACTCGTGAATGACCTTGCCCACTGACACCCCCCCACCCCTGGGGCTCCTGTAAACGCTCAATGAAGGGAAGCCGGATGAAGACGCAAACACTGGGCTCTTCCCCTTGCCTCCTGAGAACCTTCATCTAATAGTGATAGGACTGCCCTTTCCTTAGCCTGGCTTGGCTTCCCAGTTAGCTTTCCAAAGCATAACGTTACACGTGGTAAAACTCTACAAAATAGAAAGAACAATTAACGTAAAAGCAAGAACGGGAGTTTCTCTGAAGTGGGACAGGGAACAGGGGGAAAGATGTGTAGCAATGTTCCAGCTGAGAAGCTGGACGGCGACTGTGTGCCCAGGTACTCATATGATGTTATTACACTTTACAGGCACAATTCGTATACCTCTCCACATACCATCTCTCTCACACAAAGTTGTTTTGAGCCAACTGAGGCTCTGTATGACAGAGCGAGGGCTTGTCAGGTGAGATCAGGCATGAACCAGCTTTTTCAGTGGGAGATCCCTAAATGTCAGTTATCTGTGGACAGGTATCCCCAGAAAGGGTTCAATCCTCAGCTGGGGGGGGGGGGGCATCGGCCTAGCTGCTAGCCAGGGAAGGTAGAGGAGGGAGCTGAGCTTCTCCCAGCTCTGTGCAGAGAACTTCATCCCTTCTTAGCTCCACCTGCCCCACGACTGGCATCCTCAAATAGGAAGCCTGGCAGGTGCACTTCCTCCACAGAATAAACCTAGAGACTGCTCAGGGTCCCCTGCAGGCCGGCCGGCCGTTGCCTGGCTACCTGCAGGGGGAGGCTCCCCACTCGACACCCGCAATTCCCACAACCCACTTGTTTTCAACTACATGCTGCTCAGCCTGCCTCGTGCAATCACTGGTACCCCTGATCACCAGTATCCCCAAGCTGGACGCCTTCCAGGGGCTCTGCGGGGCCGGCGTCTGCACGGCAACTGCCTCCGCTCCCCTGGAGGAATGGTTAATTCTCTGTGAGGAGTATGTTTCAGACTTGAACCAAGTTCTAGCTGTACAAGTCCTTCAAAACAGAGTGATTCTATAAGTAGAAGAACCTGTATTCCCAAATAATACCTCAGTAGGGACATCACCTACAGCACATTAATCTGTCAAGAGATGCTATAAAATTCTGAGTCGCTAGCTTCATTTCTATACCTTCGAGGGTCCAGTTCGTGGTCCTTGGATCCAGTCACTAATTCCGGGTGAATTCGCACGTGCTCCATCATTGGCTAGAAGAATTTGGGTTGACAAATTACAAAAGGCTTAATTTCTATGGTATCTCCCCACAATGGAATATCACTTGACAATAAAAAGGAATGGAGTCCTGACATCTGCTACACAGCACGGATGACCCCTGAAACATTCCACCAAGTGAAAGAAATCAGTCCCAAAAGACCACGTACTATATGATCCCATGTCTGTGAAATGCTCATCAGGAGAGGCAAGTCTACAAAGGCAGAAAGGAGATCAGTGGTTGCCTAGGGCTGGGGCTATGGGGAGAGCTGAACTGCTTTTCAAAATCTGTCTCCCACTGAATACATGGGTCCCAACCACAGCCTGTGCGCACAGTATGTAGGCTCTCAAATGAGCAGTCTTCACTTACCCTGACCACTTCTTCAAAAGTGTCCAAGTTCTCCTTCATACTGTAGTGAGAGCGTAGAAAGGAGACAAAGTTGCAAGGGTACATTCCGTAGAGGCGATGAAAGAGAGCATAAACACTGGCATGGAGATGGACAAGATAGATTTCTGTCACGTGGCCTAAAATAGGAAATCATGGACAGGAGACTCAGCCAGACACAAGAGGACTTGTGCAAAGCAAACATGAGCACGTGGCCGCCAGCATGACCTGTGGTCGAATGCTCCCACCTCACTCCACAGATAGCAAGAGTGTTTTCCTAAAATGCAAATCTTAACACACCAAACACTCCTATTTAAAATCCATCAGTGGCTCCCTACGGCCTTGGAATAAACTCCAATCTACTTAGAATGATCCATAAAGGCCCCTACGGATCCAATCCTACACTCCTGTCTTCACTGGACACTCTCACAATACTGACCTAACTTTCTCATGATAATCACTCTCCTTAAAATTTGTTGTTGTTTTTTATGATTATTATTTTAAGTAAAGTCTACGCCACACATGGGGCTCCAACTCAACCCTGATGTCAAGAGTTGCATGCTCTACCAACTGAGCCAGCCAGGTGCCCCCCAAAAATTTGTAATGATACTTCTCCACTGTCCTGTTTAGCATGAATTTGAGTTTCTTGAACACTCTTACTGCACCATCTTACTAACCTCTGTACCCTTAGTGCCTTGCACAGTGCTTGGTGCAGAACATTCAAATATTTACAGAACAAATGTGAGAGATCCTTTTGAAATCAGTGTGTAGTCTTAGCTATGCAGATCTGTAACTAAAGAGTAAAAATACTATTGTCTAGAAACTAGCTTAAGAAGCTGAGAGTGGGAGAAACTGAACACTTTGTTCATCGAGCCTCACCCAGACCCCATGGAAAACCCCAAGTCCATCGGATCTGTACAGCTCCTCCATAATAATGGACAGACCACTCCTTTCTGTAGAAGAGCCTACTAAATAACCAGCATCACATGGATCTTGCACTTGTTATTAATCCCGTACAGGAAGCTACAGTACCTGGTGTGACACGGCTTACACACTTCATCTTTTCAACATGAACAGCTCATGCTGGCCTTACCAAAAGATTCCAAATATCACGTGCTTATAGCTTTGAAATCATTTTCATAGAGCTGGACTCCCTGCCAGTATGGGGAAAAACCCCACCACATTTAAAATGAGGACACTAATTAGGACCCGCTGCATTTTCCCTCCTCCTCCATACAAAAGACAGGTTCTCAGAACCAGAGGTTTGTGTTCTGTCACAACAGACCAGCAAAGTAAGACAAAAAGGTGCCCCAAGCCTAGTCCTGTATTGCTACCACATGGATTGAAGGTATTTTGATAGATTGAAATTTACTGACAATTAGGAAGTTTTACATCCTACCAGTTTCTCTGAAAACTAATCCTCTTAAACCAACAGAATGAGGAAGGCATCTAATAGTCATGCCCACAGTGAGTACACCCAAGGCACTCCGCAACCGGCTGGTGAAACCCACCCATTCCAGCTACAAAAGTCTACACGTCTTTCCTTTACAGCTCATGACCTATCAATCCCTAATGAAAGCATTCACCTGGTAGGGAATGACAGGTATGTTAAGGACATCTTTACCTGGTTTCTTCAGGCACCACGACGAAAGACGGCCAAAAATATCAAAGAAATCATGAAGGTGCTGCTTCCCCGACTGTGGAATCATTGGTAACATGGTTATCAACACTAAGACACCTGTTGTGAGGACGACGACATCGGTATCCGTCTGTGGAAGGAAAGGTCGAGCAGGAAGAACACCTGTCAGGCACAGCCTTAGAATCAGCACTAGCAGCACACCAAGAGGCTGCTCTAAATGCTAAGGGCATCACAAATTAGAGGTCCCCTCATAGACTCAGGTTCCTCACCCTCAGGTTTGAGGGAAACAACACTGATCAGACTTGACCATAATGAATCTGCAAAGACCACTTCTGCTGCCCCCAGACAAACCTATCTGGGAGAGAAACTTCAACCTGACCTGGGGACGCTCTGCCTATGGCACTTGGCACAGAAGCGTGACGAGATGCCTTTAACAGAACAAAGGAACATGACAGTTTCTGTTCATTCAACCAAATCCTCAAATATTTACTTTTTGTTAATCAATTTAAAAAACACTACACAAGTAATGTCAAGCAATTCAGTATTTTTTAAAAGATTACAACAGAAGTGTAATTTAAGAAGAAATTAGCATAGTGCTAACAAATCTCCCTAACGGTTCACCTTGGTAGCAGCATTTATAGATCAGCAAATAAAAGAAGATATGGTGACCTCTGACCATGTCTATAGTTTAAATATCAAGTCATATAACTTCAGGCTAATTGAAGATACTTAATACCCAATGGATAATGAATCAACTCTGGATAGCTACAGCAGCTCACCTGACCCATAATTAAATCATGAATGTTTGCCAAGTAACTGGAATTCAGATTTAAGAACCAAGATATTAATCAAAAGACTACCACGCAGGCTAAGACATTCATTATTACTGTTAAAAAAAAGAAAATCTACGAGTCTGGAAATAAAGCCTTAAATAGATTTAGTTTTTACGTTAAGCACTAAGCCTTTTGTCAAGGCCGACATCTAGTAAGAAGAACGTAAAATATTGATAGGAGAATCAAGAACACATAACCAGTTCCAGTAAAAATGACTAACCCTAATTTTGCTTATGGTACTATTCTAACCAATGGCTCCATGAGCAATTGCCAAAGCTTACCCTTTTGGAAAAGTAAAGTGTTTTACAATCTGAACTGAATTGTGTGGCTTCAAAATTGAGTTATATTATCTCCAATCCATTCACTCAAAAAAAAGTAAGTTGTACCAATTGTTCCTGTTTTTTCTCAACATTAAATGCATGTTTTTATGATACCCTACCAATGTGACTCCCACCTCTAGGGGTAATGAAACAGTTACCCTTGCTGGCAGAGACAAAAATCAATTTGCAGGGTGCTGGATCAGATGATCCAGAGGTACTGCCATCCTGGGACAAATGCTACTGGGTATTTTCACGTCTCTGTGAGGTACAGGCAGTTAATATTAACCACATTTTCTTATTTTATAGATAGGAAAAAGTCCAGGAATTAAAACAGATTAAGCAAATAGCCTGGAGTATTTCAGCAAGCCACTGTGAAAACTAAACCACAAAGTTCTACTTAGGTTTTGACTCACTGTGTAGAAAAACACACTACATTTAGAGTGCAAAAGGCAGGATGCGATTCAGGAGGCCTTGTATCAACAAAACCTTAATTATGGCCGCAGTAAGAACGTGGTCCTGAATGGTTAAAAAGAGCTGTTAGCCATCTTTCTCCTAGCTAAAAGAGAATCTGGGCTTCCCTCAAAGAGAAACCAGATGTTTTAACGGAGGTAAGACTGGACAATGATGGAGTCCAAGAGGTGGGAATAATGTCATGTTGAACCTTATTTGCTTGGACAAAAGCCACCTGCCAGTCACCGGGATGCACTGAGAATTTACTAAGTACCAACTCTGGACGACATGACATTCGAGGAAAGCCAAACACTAAAAGTTTCTAAATTCTCAGAGTTCAAATCTAGCTTGCTTGCTTTAAAGTTACCCAGAATTTCAGAAATAATATTCACAAAGCCATTTCATTCAAACCCTTGCAAACATCGTACCTTGAGACATTTGAGTAAAGAAGGCAAAAGAGGTGCTTGAGAGAGTTTGTGCTTCCAAGGTGGCTGCAGCCTGATGACGTGCCCCAGCAGCGACAGTGCGGGCAGCCGAGAAGCGGCTCTGCCCATACAGTCATTCATTTTGTCCAAGAGGTGCTAAACACGTAAAAGAACAGGGGAAATAGGTCTCAGTAAGGCTGGGGGGAGGAGGGGGGGGGAGGAAATCAAGGGAAACAAGGGAAATTCTCATGAGAACGTAGCAGGTGACACAAACAGAGGTAGCGAGGATGTATGCCAGTTCCTCGAGTCTCCACGGACGTGAAGCAAGGGCCAACCAGGTAAAGAGATCAAATGAAAGATCAAAACCACATTGGCACACAAAACACTGCTGCATTTAGCCTGAGAGAGGGCAGCCAGCTGGCAAGTCCTGAAAAAGGATCCCATGATACACAGGTGCAGGCCAGGAGGGTGAGGGGCAGACTCACTCATGGACTGTCTCATTAAGTACAAATAAGCCACTTTTTCCAAAAACTGCTGGTCCTAAGCCTGTGGCAGGTTGTTGAAGCTGTGAGGGTAGCAGCTGCTTATTGCTACCATAGCCCAGTCTACATGGTTTGGCCCCAAATATAAATCGGGTAATCTAGAAGTTAAAATTCAGCCCAGAAAACAACAGAACAAGATATACTGGAAAAGGCACCCAATGGCAAGGCCTTCAAATCTTAGTGAAGCCACTAGCATTTAGAAACTCAACACTTAACCAAAGTATGCAACTACAATGTTTTGTGAGCTATTTACCACCAACAAAAATAAAACACTAAGGAGCGCTCCAAGTGCCTGGTGCTGGGCAACAGGACTCATCAGTTAGCCCCACAGCTGTCTGGACCTATAGATTTTCCCACAATTGATTAAGTCCAAAATCCTATTCAAAGCATGGATTTAAAGATGGGCACCTTACGTGTCAAACTGTCACTGTACAATGACAGCACTGGAATTATAAGATTTCTTGGAACAACAAAAGCTTAAAAATAAACTCTAGAATACATTTTATTTTGTAAACTTTGCAGGACACATGGGTTCCATAAATTCTTTTTCCATGTGGCTGCAATCTGGGAACAGGATCATCTGCAGCACGGAGAAGATGAAGGAGCATGCTCTGGACATATGGCACGGGGTAGGGGTGCACACAGAGGCCGCCACACCGGCCGGGGCCAGACTGAATGGCCCAGCACTACGTTCCAGCAGTTACCTTGTCATGTGGCTCTTGCAAGGTAGTCAGGATGTGCAATACCGGCTGAGAATTGGTTTCCAGGTAATAGTCCACCAAGGTGTTTACGAGCATCGGACCACGGTCTGAACAAAGGAAAGGGAAATAACTATTTCCTTTAATATTCTAAACTTACCTCAAATGGCTGCCGGTCATGAAATCCAGAAAGTGGCTCCCCAAAGTTACGTGAAGCATTCTATTTCTACCCTTCAATCTATTTAGGTTTAACAATAGGATAATACCAAATTAACCTGCCTAAATATCAGTAAAAGCATAGAAATGCTATCTCCTTTTTTTATTGCCTTCTTTGGTTATAAAATTGTAACCATGTCCACTGATAACAACTCAGATGATGTGAAAGAACATAAAATGAAAGTCCTCCTCACTACCAGCCTCTCAACCCACTCTTCAGAGACAAGCATCCTTGAGTTTGGTACACGTCCTTTCAAACCTTTTCCTACTTGGATAACCACACATGTGCGCATACGAACACAAAGCCCCGACACCCACTTACACGCAGCCTGTGTGTGTGTTTTCTTCCACTTAACAAAGTGTTGCAGACACCCTCCCATGTCCACCTCTGACCTACTTCAGTCTCCTCACTGACCTGGAGCCCCACTGCTCGGCTCTACATGACTCAGTGAACCAGTCACCTACTGAAGGATACTTGGGTTTTCCCAGTTTTCACTAGACTTCATTCAACGCTATAATGAAACACAGACTCTTGTCAGTGGGACACATGGTACATGCTTTTTAATGGGTGATGGATACTCCAAAAAGGCTAAATACTAATTTATTCTCCTGCCAACAGTGCCCAATTCTGTAATCAATATTTGATTTTTGTCAACCTAGTAAGCAAAGAAAGGTACTGTTGAAATTCCTGTTTCTCTGATTAAGGAGAGGTCACGCATTTTTATACCAGAAATCACATATGTGATTTCTGCATGGCATTTGCTTGAAAATACTTGGGTTGGGGGGGGGAGCAAGGGAGGAGAGATGAAACAAAAAGGCAGCAACTTTGAAGCTGGGTCATGGGTTCATTATGTAATTCTTACTTAATAAGTTTGTGTGTCTATTTGAATATTTCCACAATCAAAAGCTTAAAGCACACACAGAGAGTGAATCTGGCAATTGATGCTCTTTTCTCAGTGGTTTTGGAGACTCTCCTTAGAAGATGAAAACCAACATCAGCAGACTATAGTCACCCCCAGGTCAGTCCCTTCTGATGCGCAGATGAGTGAGAATGGGCACGACCCTGCTTACCAGAGCTGAGGTTCTCTTTAAAGACAGCTGTCACATCATCACGCACACTCAGCATGGGAGAGTCCAGCATGGACAGGAGCTCCCCGATATTCGCTTGCTGGGCCATTATCTTACACAACTGTGCTGCGCCAGGTCCGGGACGTGCACTAGCGACTCTGCAGGCTCTTCATTGGTGCCACTACCAGACTGAGAAAAAGGAAGACACACAGTGTGACAAAATGGCCCCATTTCTTCCCATAAAAAATTACCTGCAAGAGAAGCCAGCACATATGTTCAATGCAGTGAAAAGCCTGTCCAGAATTCTGATGATGAAAGAAGCTAGGGTGTGAGAATAATTCTACATTTGACAAATTTGTGAAGAAGAGGTCTATGGAATGCAAGCACCGGAGAGAGACGGGAAACACTGCTACCAGTGAGAACCATCGTGGCAACTTAATGCCAGGACCAAAGCAAAGTTTTTTATTTTTATTTCTACTTCTGACTCTGCCTTTGGTTCTGGCTAATATTATGTTTACGTTTCAAATCATCCATCTAAAAAGTAGATGAGGAGCGCCTGGGTGGCTCAGTCATTTAAGCGTCTGTCTTCGGCTCAGGTCATGATTCCGGGGTCCTGGGATCAAGCCCCAGTTCGGGCTCCCTGCTCAGCGGGGAGTCTGCTTCTCCAGCCACTTCCCCCTGCTGTGTCTCGCTCTCTGTCAAATAAATAAATAAAATCTTTCAAAAAATAAATAAATAAAAAGTAGACAAACTATTTTCAGAAGAACTAAAAACATGCTATTTTCCTCTTGACACTCCCATCAATGTCTAGAAGCTGGTCTAGCTTGTTAGGTCACAGGACCATCCGTTCAATACTTCAATACCTCATTTGAACCAGGGACCACGTCTTGATATTTCATACAAACTCCTCCCCCCAGACATCTGTCACACTCAAATGCCATTGGTCACAGGCAAGAGGCATGAAGTGGGGGCACAAGGGCAAATCTGCCCCCTTCAAAGACTCCATTCCTCCTGATGATGGAGCCACTGCCTTATCTGTATATACAAAAAAACAGCTCATTCTCCAGGTATCACTATCCACATTTACAATTGGTTTTCTTTCCACTCGGGTGTCTAAAGGTATATTTTAAAAAACAAGCAAAACCAATGATCATTTAAGAGACAGGAACTGCACATCTTTTACAAACATCAGTGAATACAGTCCTTAGACCAGTATCATGCGGTTGGTTCTTCTGTCCCCATTTTGCGGGGAGAGAAACAGAAATGAAGCCATTTGCCTGGGGTCACAAAGCTAGCAAAAGGCAGAACCAGAGAACTGAAATTTAAACCCAGATCTGCTCGACTGCATAGCCCTGAGCCCTTCAACGTGACATCAAGCGACCTCACGGTTTTGATCCTCACAGCAATTCTGTGAGGTAAGCAGATACCCTCAATTACAAATGAGAATATGGAGGCTCAGAAAGGACAAGTAACTTTGCCAAGGTCACATGGTAAAGCAGAACTCAGACGGCTCAACTCCCAGGCCCATGGCTGCATCTGTCCTTGGTCGCCACGTTGCTTCCTCCAGCGCTGCTCTGAGTGGCTGGGGTAGCAGCCCTCCTGCTTCAGTGTGGACCCAGACCACCTGGGGTGCCTCTTAGAAACGCAATTTCCTGGTCCGTTCCACCACTGACTTGGGGCTTAGGAACTTGCATTTTAGTAAGCACCTAAGGGAGGAAAAATTACGCTAAAGAAAAAGTCCACTAAAGAGTTAAGCTCCTCCTGCAAGAATGCCAAATTTAAACTCCAATGGCCCCAGAAACTGGAGAGTATTAACTATTATATATGCTCTTGTTTAATTACAACCCAGCAACAGCCACTGATTTGGCTCTCGGTGAATCAGAAGTTCATGAGCCAAAAAAAAAAAAAAAAAAAAAATCAATTAAAATGTCTACATGCATTTTTGATAGCTAATCATGATGTAGGAAGTTGCTGGCTCACACCTATGAATATAAATCTTATAGGTAAATCACAAAGGGAGTCCATATCAAAGGGCTTACAACTGGTAAGATTTTCTTGTAAAAGAGTTCAGAGCTGAAAATAGACACAAATTTCACCTTGTGAGTTGGATTAAATTAAATTTACAAGTGAAGAAAATACCAACCTGTCAGGATTTATTGTCCATGGAGAGAATTAAATTAGAGACCATATGCATACACTCGGCACAAATAAATACTCCCTGAGCAGTGCCCATATATTATCAAAAAGAAAACAGGTAAAAATCGTGGGGCCACCACTTTCAAGATGTATCTGGCTAGCCCTCACATTCCTTTCTACTTCAGATAAATCACAAATGATTCTCAGGTTTAAAAGCATTTTTGTCCCTAAGTTTGGTTTTGTTCCAGTAAAACTGCTACCCACCTAGTCTCAATCTAGTGAGACTCTGAATTTATATTTTGTATATTCAGAAGACAGTAACATCAGAGATGGTTCCCCAAATCTAGGCAGCCCAGAACACATGACAGGAGTCCAATTCCAAACAAAGATGGCGCCCATCCAGTCAAGTTGGCCATAGTCAGGGCTGACCAGCTTAGGCTACCTCGCTTGCTTTTCAGTTTTTAAATGTCACTTTAGGTGTCAAAGTCTGGTTTCTGGAGCCTGCTCCTTCCAGATACTTTATAGAAACCAAAAATAAGGTTTCATTCTACAACACATTAGTACATTTCTGGCAAAAGCTTTTCTAAAATTTTTCTCTAAATTTTCTAAAATTCTACTTTTCAACCATATTTTTTTAATCCTCCCAAAAAAATATAAATCTTGGGTTTCATGTGAGGTTCCTCATGTAAGTGCCCCAAGTTCAAGGATTCTGACATTCAAAAAGGCCCTCCCAAGAATTTAATCATGAGCTTTTAGAAATCATTCCCATGATTGGAATATCTCTTCTTTTAAAACTCATTCAAATATTTCTCAGGGGGCTACATGCAGGGTGCTGAGTGACTTAGCACACACAGTGGAGAAGGGACATGGGAGGAGAAAGTGGGCAGGGCTCAGTGGGTGCACCGAGTGGGGAGGGGGCCAGCTCAACCTGCACGTGGTCGGGGCAGGTGAGGCACACCCATGTTAGACACACTTTCTAGCCTGGGGAAGACCAGCTAGGAAAAGTCACATGAAGGTGAGCACCACAGTCACAGGCAGCATCAACTTACAGCTCAGCTGTGGAAGCCTCTCTTCCGTTCTCGAAATCACCAAGTACGGAACACAGGAGTCAGGGCGCCTGAGTGGCTCAGACAGTTAAACGTCTGCCTTTGGCTCAGGTCATGATCTCCAGGTCCTGGGATCCAGCCCCACGTCCGGCTCCCAGCTGAGCAGGGGCTCTGCTTCTCCCTCTCCCTCTGCCTCTGCCTCTCCCCCTGCTTATTCTCTCTCTCTCTCTCAAGTAAATAAATTAATCTTTAAAAAAACAAAACAAAAAAAAAACAACACAGGAGTCAGGAGAAGCCCAAAGTCCATACCTAGGTTAGTCCAGCTCTGTACCCTATATGCCAAAGCAGCATTCCACTCAGGTGAGTGGCATCTTCAGTGGCCGCGTCCCACAGTACAGTGCTACAGCTATTCCACAGGGAACCACTCCCACCCCAAACTCTGTCACTCTGCCAGTCTTCTGGATCTCAGGAAAACACGACCATCAGGCTAAAGCAAACACTGAGGCGATGTCCTCGACTTCCCCACAGCTCTTACCCCCCCTCCGTCAGCAAACCCCCCCGGTTTTGCTATATCCCCTTTGTCTTGGGCCCAGTCCAAGCCCCATCACCTCCCATCCTGTTCCCCTGTGATGCATTTGCCACCAAAACACCACAGACTCTGAAATATGGAAATCCGAATCCATCCCTCTCCTGTTTAGAATCATGCAATGGCTTCCCACGGAGGCAATAAGAGCCGAACCCCATGAGTGGCCTAAAGGCTCCACGTGCTTTGGCCAGGTGTGAATCCCCCAGCCTCCGTCCGCTTCCTTTCACGCCACTCTGCCTCATCATTTCTCAGATCTAGTCCCCGTCTCCCAAAAGCCAGGTAAACTGGTTCCTGCTCAAGGCCTCTGCCCTTGCTGCTGCCTCTCTCCCTGGAATGCTCTCTCCCAGATCCTGGCATGGCTGACTGTCAGTGAGGTCTCTGCTCAAAATGTCACCATCTCTAAGAGGTCTCTCCTGACCACCCAATGGAAAGCAATAGGGGGATTGTTAGTTACCACCTTTGAATAAACCAAGTTGAAACTTTAAAACTGGTCATCAGATTCAATCGAACAGAATACTTAGTATGATCTCAACATGCATGGAAAATAGGGATTCACCCAAGTTTGACTTTAGTCTCCATATTTGGCCAACATCTGGCTTTGGTCTTTAGAATGTTTGAAACTTAAAACTGTCAGCTGCCTACTTCAGCAGCATTTCTAGCACCCCTCAGTGTGTGTGATCAACTATGTGTCATTACCATGATACGTAACCTACATGATGTCTGTAATGTGGACAAGGCATGCGTTTAGAATTTGTTAAAAATCTGAATATTCACTTTTGAATAAAGGTAAGACACTCTAGCTGTAACATCCAAGTTTTATGTTTTATAAGTTGAAACTCTTGTCAGTTTAAATACAAATGTATACTAATTAGAAAAATAAAAGCTCTTTAGTTGATCAATGTGACTTTTATGTTCAAAAACAATCAAGAACTTTCAAATAGCTAAATAAGTTAATCAACAATATGAATATTAAAAGTAGATTAGATAGATAACTTTACAAATAAGAGTAATTACTCTTTGAGCCAAATGTTTATAAAAATTTTAATAACAGATGGCTAAATAGAAATTAAATCATATTTTAATTCTAAATTTTATAGAATTGTCTTGTAACATTTATTACAAACAAAAATAACCTTTTAAAACTGCATTTAAGGGGTGCCTGGATGGCTCAGTTGGTTAAGCGACTGCCTTCAGCTCAGGTCATGATCCCAGGGTCCTGGGATCAGGTCCCACATCAGGCTTCCTGCTCAGCGGAGAGCCTGCTTCTCCCTCTCCCTCTCCCTCTCTCCCCTGCTTATGCTCTTCTGCTCTCTCTCTGTCAAATAAATAAAATCTTAAAAAAAAAACTGCATTTAACTTACAGTCTTAATTAGTAGTCTTTCAAGAAAAAGTCATATTTGGGAATACTTCACATCTCGTGAAGAATAAAAAATAAAATGTCAACCTGTCACCTCAATTTTATGACATGAAAAAGTCCAAAATCACAGTCAACCAACATCCATGATAAATCATCTTCGAGTCAAATATAAAGAATATAAAGAGTATAAAGAAAACAATGTTAGTGAAAAACTGAAGTCCCCTAACACATTTTACAGTCACTAATCAAATTTCAAAACAGACCTTACAAAAATACTTTAGAAAGACAACGTCTTGTAGTTTTGTGTCTATGAAGGTTAAAAATGTAAACAAAAAGCTTGTCAAAATGATGGCTACAGGTCACCAGCAATTATTAGTAGCTAAAGACAAAGGATCTGTGAGGCTTGCCCAACCTATGAATCCCAGATACAGGTTCCTTCTAGGAAACAATCACCCAGAAACTTCCCTAAAATTACATTTCACCTTGTCCATAAAGGTTAGTGATGGGACTGCCTAAGGCAGCCGGAGACGAGCATCTATTCAGCATTACACATGTGACACGATGACCACAGGAGCAATCTGGCTGCTAGTCCTAACAAAGTCATTTTTCTACATTAAAACTCCAAACTTTACAAACCTAGCTACTAAAATGTCATACAACTGCAATACTGAAAAATGTGGAATAAAATTTGAAATTCGCAATGTGTGTTATTCAGCTTGGGCCTCAATGATACGAACACGACCACTTGACACTGGATTCAAATTCACATTCTGCGGACTTCTAAAGAAGGGACAGTGTGAAGTACACATAAAAATGTTGAAAATGAAAAGTCACACTCAGCTCCCCCTACTTGTGAGAGAATGCTGCTTCTGCCTTCCTGTTAAATAATTTACAGGCTGTACGAAGTTTCTGTGACCAGACATCCATCTTGAAGGTAAAAATCCCTACTTTATTTCACAATTCCTATGAGGTAAGGTGAGGCAGGCGGTGACAGAGTATAGTAACTGGCAACCAGTAAGCCATTACATGAACCCCATGAGCTAAACACACACAGAGAGCAAACCAAACAGCTTCCCTATGTTCCCCACACCTTCCCACAGACACACGACGCTGCTGCGTTGGGCACTCTTACAGTAAACTCAAAATTACAGCTCAGTGATAAGTCACGTCACTAAGACCAAGTTCATATCCACAAAAGTGCCAAAGCCTCAATATTTATGAAGGATATATTCTGGGACCTTGAGAATCCTCCAATTCCTAGAAATTGTCACAGCATATAGTTCACCCCAAAACACTAATTAAGACAATGAATAAATAAAGCCAAGTTAAGATATAAATGTTAATTCCCTAGCTCAGGGGTTCTCAGCCCAGGATGTACATTAGAATTACCTTTATAAACTCCTGAAGCCCAGGCCCCACTCCAAAACAGGTTAAGGGGTGGGGCCAAGAGAGCACATTTGGTTTTTTTTTACAGATCCAAGTGGATTTCCATAACCAGGGTTAAGAGCCTCTGCACTAGTCAAATGACTCGCTCCAACACAAAGTCTTCGATTTCATTTAGTGGCAAAAACCAAACCTCGCTGCTGAACAGAACTGATCTGAGTCACAGGTCCACCAGGTGCAGCTATACAACCTTAGGAAATTCAGCTAATATCTCAGAGCCCCATTCCTCATCTGTAAAATGGGGCTACATCAAAAGTGTGGCTGTGAAAAAGAAAATGAGTAACACGTATAAAGAAAGCACTTAATAGTGTCTGGCACTGAATAAGCAATTAATAAATCATGGGTAATTTGACAAAATTAACTTCATGTCACAGAAGGACCAGTTCCTAGTAAGTAGCTAAAACAAGAACTGTTAAATCCTGACTGCAAACAAACACATACACACCTACACAACTGTACAGGTGAACGATTCCCTTCTGTCTTCCCCCCCACCCCCCCAACTGGACTGAGTTTATACCTTACCTGTTCTGGGGACAATCGGTACTTCGGTTTCCAGTGCTGTCAACCTGGTGTCTTTCATGGTCACTGAAGGGAAAAAACACATATAATGTATACAATAATCTTACAATGAAGTGAAATCCCAGATGCACCCAGAGGGAGTTTAGGGTTCACCTGGTTCGACCTCCTTCCTGCCCCAGCCCTGACAGGTGGCCAGCTAGTTTCCACAGGAATGAACACTTACAACAGTGGGTGCACGTGCCTCTCCCTGTCTACATTTCTGAACAGCTGGTTGCTGGAAAATTCTTTATATTGTGCTGAACTTGTAATCTCTGCCTTTTGTTAGCTGTCTGTTTACTGAAGCTATAAACAAATGGGCAGGATGGGCTCTCGAGTCCTAGAGTCCTGAGGTACAATCCCAGCTCTACCACATATTAGCTGGGCCACTTCTGGCAGTTTCTTTCAGGTGCCTAACGTCTGACCTTATTAGTTCATCTGGAAAGTGAGAAGAATAGCGGCCTCTACCTCAGAAGGCTGTGTGGGGTTACATGAGACGATGCATCCTGGAGCCCTGGCGCAGCCCGGGGCACAGTCATCACTCAAGAAGCCCTGGGACACAAGCCCCGACAGCAGGAACGGTGCCGGGTGCAAAGCACTTAGTGGGCCTACAACTGGTCACCAACCCCCCATATTCCCCCTCCCTCCCTACAGCCCTGCCCCTCTCGCCTCCCCACTCCTAAGCTAAGCATTCACCCCTAAAATCTCAGCTTAAACATTTGCCCCATCACGCCTGGGTGGCTCAGCTGGTTGAGCAACCGACTCTTGGTTTCAGCTCAGGTAGTGATCTCAGGGTCATGAGATTGAGCCCCACGTCAGGCTCCACGCTCAGCAAGGAGTCTGCTTGAGATTCTCTCTCCCTCTTCTCCTCTTCCCACTTACGCATGGGCAGGCACTAGCACTCTCTCACTCTCTCTCAAATAAATCAATCTTAAAAAAAAAAAAATTGGGGGCGCCTGGGTGGCTCAGATGGTTGAGCGTCTGCCTTCGGCTCAGGTCATGATCCCGGGGTCCTGGGATCGAGCCCCGCATCGGGCTCCTGGCTCAGTGGGGAGCCTACTTCTCCCTCTCCCTCTGCCTCTCTCCCTGCTCATGCTTTCTCTTCTCTCTCTCTGTATCTCTGTGTCTCAAATGAACAGATAAAATCCTTTAAAAAAAAAAAATTTGCCCCATCAGAGAAGCTTTCACTTCTCTCCACTCCCGTGCCCGAGACTAGGTCAGGTCCCCTGTTATATTTGCTTAGCAGCCTCTATTTCTTTGTGTCACTTACCACAACCCAATTAAATAAGCGTAATTAGTTACTGAACACGTCTCCCTCACTAGAACAGAAGCTACACACAAGGAGAGATAGTAGCTCAGTCAGTACCAGAGCTCTAGCAACTATCACAGTGTCTGGTACTTGCTGACAATATGGAAGCCGTTACAATAGTTCTTAAATAAACATATGAAACTGAATCTTGCCTTCAAAACAGTGTGACCTTAATGTGACCCTTCCACAGGACAAGCATAAAATATTTGTGGACAGCTATCATTTCTCTACCTTCTTCCCCTCTTTACCAGACTTTCTGTCTAAATGATCTCATATTAAATATGAGTCTCTACAAATACACTCCAATTCGCCTTTAAAATGTGGGCCATTCAAACTATATTTAGGTATCGTCTGGTCATTAGATGTAAGTTCCGCAAGGACAGGGACCATCTGTTTGGTCCCCCAGTGGACACCCCGGGCCTAGTGCAGCACCTGGCACTCAAGAGGCAAATATACTCTGTGCAAACCAGCAAAGGTTTCACCAACTTCTCTGGTCGTCGTTCCAGGGTGGGATGTAGAGTATGGAAGCTGAGCCTCACACACTGCGTCTGTCTAGTGAGTTAGCACGCGAAAGCTTGCCAACAAGCCCTTCACTATACTATGATGCTCAAAGTCGAACTCATGGATGGAGCAACTCTCTAACAATTAAAATCTCGTGCCCCAGATGACCGGGTAATTATATCTCCTTGTGGAGCACATTCTAGGCATTAAACACCAATGGTCCTCAGTGGCATATTCCAAGTGTGTGTCCACTGCTAGGAGGTGGGCTGGCCTCTCAGAAAGGCCAGCCAAATCATTCAGACGGGGAGTGCCTGCCTGGCCACAGTCAATCAAGAAAAGAACTGGAATTAAAACACAGAGGCCTCTAATATTCACAACCTTAACATCAGCTGTCAGTCCAGTGAGACATATAGACTTCCTGTTATGATTAATCCTAGTTGGATCTTTTACCTGAAAAGGAATATCCAAGGCAAGGGTAAAGTTGGGATATATATAAGATGAGCTCTCATAGCCGCCCAGCCAAGATCACTATCCTAGACAAAGGGACTGGCCCAGGAAATCGGAATTTTTTTTGTCCAATGCTCAACATTAAGACTTCTTAAATTCTTTATCGCTAGGCCAAAAAAATGGTTAATGGTAATAAGTTGTCATCAATCTAATGCTGGCTTGTCAAAGGTTACTTGCCATTATTTATATTTGTAATTGTTTATTTACTTATTTATTTATATTTAAACCCTGTCCTATGGAGTACTACCAGCTAAAATCATTCAGGTCAGTCAAGTGAGATGTGACCTGTGAACTTCTGAAAGGAAGTGAGGAATGAAGAAGACCCCCCTCAAAGATGTGTACCCCAAAGGGGGTGTGGATGGAAGCACCTGTCAGAGCATAACAGGGTCAATCCACATTCTTAACTTCAAGAGCCAAATTAAAGAAGAAACATGCCCCCTGGATCTAGATTTTTCCTCTTTCATATCTGACCCAAAAGCTGTGTTCTCACCTAAAAGCAACACTGTGATAGCACTTCCTACAAGGAGTCTTTTTGGGAAAAAATAAATAAATAAATAAACAAACAAACAAACAAACAAACAAATAAAGGGTAGGTTTGAGGAAGAAGAAGAGGGCTCTGTGCTGTTAGTATTTTGAGATTAAAGAGAAAGAGCACAGGTCAGTTTGTTTTCATAGTTCACCTTAATTTCATTCTTAAGGTGTTTGCAGATAGGTAGATGGCTTATATACCTAGGATTACACATGAACTCCAGCTTAACAGCCACGGACAGCCGTCATTGGCAGGACCCATACACATGTTTTCACATTTCTCTGCCCCAGGCGAGATGCATTACAAGCCGTGAGAGTGCTCAAAGCTTCCTAGCCCTTTATGAAATGCTAGTGGCAGGCACCGAAAATGCCTTTAGAAAGTATTTTATCTGAAAATATCAGCTGAACATTCAGACTTTTGGAAGGCCAGTACTGTGTGTGGCCTTCTACCCTAGGACTCCTCGGAAATGCAAACCACATCGCCTGAGATGATTTCATGCACACCTGTCTATGACGTATACATGCAGGCAGATACCCTTTGCCGTAACCTGCTGTCTCTACTCAGGTTTTTCATCTAAAAATTCAAAGACAATTCAGATACGGGTTCAGTCACAGATGGACAATTTCAGTATGAAGTGAAGTACAAGTAGAAGAGAACCATTACACCATTATGTTAACAACAAAGATAATAGTAATAATCATACACTAAGACACTATTGTGTTCAGCTCTGGCTCAGTAACGGTCTCAGGTGATTTCTTAGGACAATATTCTATCAAGTGAACAAAGCTACCGTTAGCACAAAAGCATCCAAAAAGGATAAGATACTAGCTCCGATTCCCTCTTCCCACGGACATACAGAAGGAGAAGGGGGTAGGAAACACTACTTTATATGTCAGAGTGAAGCAGCTGATGGCAAAACCTGCCAAAATGTGTAGTCGTGGGTGACTTCCACGGTCTCGCAGCCGCAGGCCCTCTCAAGGTCACATGAACTGGGGCAGGGGAGCTCCAGATTCGCCATTCAGAATTTTTGCCATTAGGGACCTTGAAGGACAACTTGCTGAAGCTTATACCCTATTTCAAAGGTGAATCTTGCCGAACTTGCCTGTAGAGACAGAGCTGGATTTCAGTAAGATGTATCTCTTCTACAAATAATGTTTCTTTTAGCCTGAACAAAATTATTTACTGAGAAAATACAGGTCAGACAGATACCATGTATGTTTCAAAGAGTCACTCTACAGAGCTTCCCCTAAAAGAAACCTGAGCAAACTGTTAAGATTTCTTCAAGTTTCAAGTTCATAGAACTAAAATAGAAATACCCTAGGGAATAAAGGCATAGGGTTTGATTGATAGTCTAGGACAGTGGTTCTCAAATGTGGTCCTCACACCAGCAACAGCAGCATCACCTGGGGATTTGTTAGAAATGCAGACCCTTGGGCCTGGAACCACCTCTGAATCAGAACCTCTGGGGGTGGGGTCTTCTGAGTCATTCTGATGCCCACTAAAGGTTGAGAACCACTGGTCCAGGAAGAAGAAGGATGATGCCAAGAAACATTAAAAACATATATTTAATACATAATTTTATAAATACTTTGGGGTTCAGAGGGAAAAAAATACATAGTGCATAAACCTTGGGAAAAAACCCAGTGGAATTCTGCCAGGTGCTAAAGGTACCAGCACAGACCCAATGCCAGGCCTGACAAGCATTTAGCAAGTTCCATACCTGAGATCTCCACTTCTGATTTTTTTTAAATGTGCCATTTAAGGTTGAATTCCCAGGGAAGTGTAAAGAATCTTTCAATATAAAATTTTAACAAAATGACTTATAACACAAATAGCACACAGGTCCATCTTTAAAAGGCTTGGGCCTTTCCTATCTACCCGTTTAAAAAAAAATTGTTTTTAATAAAGTCCAAATCCATTTTTAAGAGGAGCAATCTATCTAGAATAATCAGTTGGGCGGCAAGCTAGGTCCATAAAGTTCCTGAATGAATCTGTACGAACTGTTTCGTAGTGATGGAACAGGAAGGGATACTTGATCCAAAACTTTCCACAGATTTTCAGAGGGGAACTGAGGCCCCCCCAAAAGTTAAGAACCACTGACCTATGAATTAGTTACAATTAGCAGTTCATGTTGTTTATCAAAGTGAAAGATGAAAGGTTTGGGCTCTGAAGTCAACCAACAGGGTTCAAATCCCAGCTCAGAAGCTGAGTAAGTGACCTTAGGCCTGTTTCCTCATCTCCCTATCCTGTCTCTTAAGGCTGTGGGAAGAGTTCACAGGGATCATGCATGTCAAACACTTAGCACAGTGCCAGGCACATAAGTACCAAAAATAAACTTGATTATAACAGTATTGCTACTAAACAAAATGTATTATTGCTGGCTCCATAAGGCTTAGCAGTGTCTCCATGTAACAACTTGTATGTGAAACATTGATAAAACCATTCCATAATTTAGGGGCGCCTGGGTGGCTCAGTCAGTTAAGCGACTGCCTTCGGCTCAGGTCATGGTCCCAGGGTCCTGGGATCGAGCCCCGCATCGGGCTCCCTGCTCAGCGGGGAGCCTGCTTCTCCCTCTCCCTCTGCCTGCCTCTCTGCCTACTTGTGCTCTCTCTGTATCTCTCTGCCAAATAAATAAATAAAACCTTAAAAAAAAAAAAAACCATTCCATAATTTAAAATGGATACACTCCATGTTTGCTACTGTGCTCTGTGAACCATTCAAAGTAACACAGGTCTTACCAAATGCATGCAGACATGAGGGTCACTACATCTGTTCTTCGTTATCACTCCCTACTGGGCCTTCCATCACCAACAGAAAGACAAAATTGTCCCTCGTTACTCAAATACTTCATGGTCTCTTTACTTTAGAAAGTGACCTGTGAGTTCTAGGCCAGTAACTACCATGCCTTGTTTTGTATCAAAGCTAGGTTTTTAAGGCATTTTACCGGTTAGATGACAATCTGAATTCATTCATCTGTTACCTTTTGCTACTTCCCTGGACAGAACAAAAGTTAGCACTGCACAAGGGACAAGAAGAAACTAGCAAGGTCTTAACATCATATACCTTTTTTATATAAAAAAAGGTATTCACCCTTTTGGGGGGGAACTCTTTTTTTATTTATTCACCCCCTCCAAAAAAAACACAGACATTAGATATTAAGTGACTAATTTCTTGGGACGCCTGGGTGGCTCAGTCTGTTAAGTGGCTGCCTTCAGCCCGAGTCATGATCCCAGGGTCCTGGGATCGAGTCACACATCGGGCTCCTTGCTCAGCAGGGGGCCTGCTTCTCCCTCTCTCTCCCTCTGCTTGTGCTCTGTCAAATAAATAAAATCTTAAAAAAAAAATTTTTTTTAAATGACTAATTTCTTGTAACTATAGGCTTAAAAAGTAAATCAGAAAAGAATAATCTCAAATTGCTGATGGTAGACCTCTTTCAGACCAATTTAAATGGCAAAATTTAGTACTGTCATGCAAACTAAATTATACTAAGCAGTGAGGGAAAAAACTCAAGTGTGAATGTATGCTAATTATACACACATATTTTTTAAAGCAAAAAGCTACAGGTTTGAATGTTATTGAGTACATTTTGCCTTCATGCTTAATTTCAGCTACTTACATGACAAACAAAACTAATATAAATAAAACTAATCTCCCAAAGAGAGACTTAAAATATAATGAACTTAGAGGGAATTACCTTTTAAAAAATCATGTGATATAAAGGAAAGGATAAACAAGTCTTCACTCAACAGGTCAGGCTAAGAGTCACCAATTTGCTTAGTTATTATAAAGCCATTAACACTTAGATTCAACCAATTTAGTCAGAATGTTTAGCTGAAGCCCCAGGAGGACTTGAAATCCCAGAAATTTATCAGAAATCCTCTAATTCACAATCCAACTCTCTTATTTCACAGATGACGAAACTGAAGCTCAGAGAACTTCAATGGCTTGTTAAAAGTCAAAAACTATTTGATTTTTAGGAAAGCTTAAAATGGTTGATGTGTTGCTGTCTTTGGCTCATTTGCATCCAAGAGTATACAATTAATTCCAGGAAAAGCTAATTTTACTCCACTATGGCTCTGAAACCCGGAAAAGAGCATCCCTGTACCCTAACAAATGGTGAAAAAAGAGCTGCAAGATCAAGTCAGAGCCCAAAACTCACCCACCACTACCCACACCAGAGTTGAGAGACTATTTTAGGAAATGCCTCTGCTATAAATTATACATTAAAGGAAAAATAGCCAAACTGATACTTGAAGCCACTGGTCTTCAACTTCTGGTGTACAGCAGAATCACCTATGACTTCTTCCAAAATATATATCCAGGGTGTCCCTGAAGACCAAATATGTAGGTCCACCTACTGTGAGGCTAGACATCTGTGCATGGAGGTTCTGATGAACACTACGGCTTGAGATCTCTTGTTCCCGGCAATTTCATTATTCTGTAAACACCACATAAACAGTTATATATTTGATTTGTCCTAGTAAGACTCTTCAGTTTCAGCTCACAACTGGAACCAAGCATGCACAAAAGGCATCAGATTGCACCACAACAGTAGCAGTATGGGGCGTCTTTGCTCTTGGCCCAGCAAGAGAGAGTACAACTGAGTCACAGGATTTGAGACATTCCAAGTTAACAGAGGTAAGTGAGAAGGCTGGCAGCCGCCTAAGAATCTAACTAGGAATTCAGACACATACCAAGTCTTCATGACACCAGGAAAGGCATGAAGTGAAGAAAGCCTACATCATCTACCCTTCCAGGCACCTGATGTAAGAGTGTTTTGGATAAGATACTAACTTTAGTAAGAGGGTATTTTCATTTTACATCTTCTATAAATACCCCTTAAGTTTACACCAGGTGTTTAGAGGAAGATTCTGCAGCTCCCCAGGGCAATAGCAAAGAATGTTTCAGTGTTTCTGAGGAGCCTCATTTGCTTGATGCATGACTGTTACAGGTACATTTCCCTGCACAACCCTAAATCAGCTTTCACATTTGCATATTCCAGGTTTACTCAGGAATGTTCAACTTAAGAATCACAGGTGGTTGCTCAGTAAATCAAGGGCTCCCAGAAGATTCAGTTTTATAATGCTTCTTGAAATTTACAGCTCCACTTTGCCAGCATGTTTGAATTCAGATGACTCCAAGTTGATCCCAAAATTATAAATCAAAGTATCTCAGAAGAGTATTATTCTATTTTAGTACTTTTACAGCTTACTCTATGTAAAGTGAAGTGCTATTTCTATGCTTTCTATAAAAAAAAAAAACAGCAAGGATTTTAGTAAGCCTTCTTTCTGCAGTAAACGCATCAGTTTTATAAAAGCATCAAATACTTGCCAGCCTAATTTAGACTAACATATTTACAAGCACAACACTGCCATCCCAAACAAGGCTAAAGTGCATATGCACCTACAGCTATGCGTCTATACAAGCAAATGTACCCCTCTTCAAAATTAAACACACACACACACACACACACACACAGGCACTTGTGCACAAACTCTGGCCAACTGATTGATCACTTAATTAGAATGACAGGCTGGCTTTGGTCAAATAACAGATAAATGAAAGTATAAAAAGATGAATGTGAGTATAAATAATGGCAGGAGCACAGTCTTGGAACCCATAGCATAGTCCTAGACCCCAATTCCAGCCCTGGCTCAGATAATCCTAGAGGTGTGACCTTGCAAGTAACCCTAATCTCTCTGGGCCTCAGTTTCTTCACCAGGGAAATGGAAGTATTAACAGAGGCTGCCTCTTCCCTTTGTCGCAAGGACGAAAGGAGATGATGACTGCAAAGCACTTCCATAACGAGTACTCCATAAACGTGAGCTGTTGTTATTAGGGGGACCGCGCCCCCTCCCAAGCTCCCCAACCCCCAAATCCAAAACACACGAAGCAAAACTCTTTAACCGAAAACACAAAGAGCTTTAATTCTAAAAGGTCTCTCCGACTGCGGGCTCTTCATCCTCCAGTTCCTCAAATGAATGAATGAGCGTCTAGGAGCGGCTCTGCTGTTTCTAAGGTTCACCTCTGCTGACTTTAAGGTAACTGTCTTTCACCATCAATTAAACACCCACAAGGAAACCCGGAGTGAGGCACCCTAGTCCTGCCAATTTCAGTGGAGACACCGAGTCCAGGCGAGTCCTCGATGCCCACAGGCAGCCTCCATTCATTCTCCTCCCCACCGCGGACCCCTCTCCTGAAGCCCCAGAACCAGCCGCCCTCCCCCCACAGGCCCTTCCCCTCCGGCCAAGGCTGTCTCTCCTGCCCTCCGCACCCCGAGGGAAACTGTCACCCCACCAAGTGAGGGGCTGGCGAAGGGGCCCACCTCACCCCTGCCCTCAGCACCGCGCCCCGGGGGTGCAGCCGTCCCCTAGGCCGCCGAGGAGGAACGAAGTGCTGGTCCGGCCCGCCTCTCCTCCCCAGGGACTCGCCAGCTCTGCGGGGCCCCGCCAGAGATAGCGCGTAATAAGAGGGAGGGGTAAGCTCTCCGAACACCCCTTCCCGGGGTTCCCTCTCCAGCAAGCGAGCCCCTTGCCCCAGTCCCTCGGGGCCTCCCAGACCAGGGTCATGGTGCCAGGGCTGCCCCGAGAAGCCCCCATGAAAGGGAGGGGGAGACACCCCCATACTCACCCACCGTCTCCTCCCCCTCAGCTGTTTACCTCACAGTTCCTCCAGCCTACAGGGCGCCGCCATCTTGGACGTACAGCACCTCCCCCCGTCGTGAAAGGTCCACGGTCGCTGCAGCCTCCGCCACGAAAAAGAGTGCCCAGTTGGGTCTCGCCTCCTTCTCGACCCCAGTGACAGATGACGGCGGCCGGCAGCCCGGTTGGACGGAAGAGGCCCTCCTGCTCATTACTGATGATGCGAGCCGTTCGGGAAAGGACTCAGGAGAGTTTGGAAGGTAGGGGGGCGGGGACGGGCGGAAGGATCCCGAAAGGGGGGGCCGCTGAGAGATCTTGTGACTCCGAAGGAGGAGAAAAGAAGGGCCGGCGTGGCGGGAGGAGCCACGCGAGGGAGCGAGGGGCGGGGCGGAGGTCACGTGCCCGGCCCGGCGGGCGGGGCCGTGCAAGAGGCGTAAACAAGGTGGCCAAGCTGGGTGTGGTTGGGCTGCCTCCTGCTTTCCCTCCTGCCGTTCCTGCGCTTGCAGTCCTGGCTGCCCCCCCTAGGGTCTCTCTCTGCCCCGCTACAGAGCTGCGATCGTGTTTCCCAAAGAGCCACTGGGGCCCGCGTGGGTGAAGGGTCCGCCTTGGAGCTTTGGAGGAGTGGCAGCTCATCCAGGCAAGGAGGGAAAAGCTGCACCAGGGCAGCCTTCTTTCCTTTGCAGAATATTTGCAAAATCCCACCTTGCTAACACTGGGAACGTGGTCACGACAGCTCTGGGAAACCACCCTGATCAGAGCAGACATTTTTAAAATAAGCAGCCTTAATTCCGTTCCTCCTACTTCTTAGCTATGTGAACCTAACTAGTCTTGAAGTCCTCTGAGCCTCAGTTTCTTCCTCTGTGAAAAGGGCATAATAGCCTTCCCGAAGTGAGGATTCAAGTCCCACGCATAGTAAGTGCTCAACAGGTGATGTTCTTCACCAGAGGCGGGTGCCATAAGCACTATGGTACAAAGAGAGTGAGAGCCGAGCGTGAGATGAGTCTAGGGGTGGATTTTGAAAGGTTTTTTTGAAGGAGTGGGCCTCTGCTTAGATTTTCAAGGAAAGGTACGTTTTGTGAAATAGAAATGGAGAGGTGGATGAAAGGAAAAGGGCATTTCAGGCCAAAAGCACCAAGGAAGCAAGAGCCTGGAGGCAGTAAATGCTGAATGACTTAGGGGAATAACAAGTTTTGTCATGGAAACCAATTGGGTCACAATGCAAGTCAGCCCATGATTTAAGGGGCCAGGTGTGTGAGTGGCCAGCATAGTGGGTGCTGTCAGAATTCCGAGGGGCCCAGAGTGGTCCCAAGTAGGGCTGCTGCTAGCTTATACGGTGCCTTTGTGAGAATTAGAGACACCCCTTCTGGGCCCATAGCCGCTATGAGCAGAGCCCAGGGTGTATTTCAGCCCCTACCCTCACGCCCCGAACCCTCCTGAGGGCCCCTGAGCAGTGCACAACCTTTATAATCATGCTGGCTTATGAGGGAGGTGGGCATTGAGCTGGGGATTCAACCAGTCTAACGTGGTGAAGGAGGCATTGGGGGGAAGCCCAGAGATCTTGATTCAAATGGATCAAAGTTTGCATGCAGGTTTCTGCCATTGCGCCAACTGAGTTAGCGTTCGTTTCCTCATCCACAACATAGGGAATAATAATGCGTACCTAGTGGGGATTTGAAGTTGAATCAGTGAGACATTAAGACATAACTGGGGTAAAACCTACTTCAATAAATGTCACTTTTGTTACTGTGTTAATTGTGCTCATGGCCGGCATCCATCACTCCCAGGAGCTGGTCCACCACATGCTAAATTCTGTGTAGCCACCCAAATATAGTCAGTTAGGGTGGAGATGAAAAGTTTGGGGGAGAATGGGAAGGATCTGGTTTCTCCCAGTCCTGCCAGTCCACAAACCATTTCACAGGAACGGACTACTGTCTTTGCATTCATACCAGCGCAGGGACCCACGTGCATTCGGAGATTTCTGAGGCCAGTGACTGGAGTGCTCAGGTTAAGGGGTGGAGTCAGGGGCCAGGCACTGCTCCAGAGCTCTGACCCAGGAACCTCCCTCCCTACCCCCAATTTTCCTTGGCTCTCTGACCTCATCCTGCTGGAATGTTTTCCTCCGTGGAAGGGAGCAATGATCCATGGAGCTCATCAGCTGCTGGCCCTCAAGGGGGCCATAACCACATTGTTACTGTTTATGCAGTGACTGGAAGAAGAATGGTAATTGTTCTCTCGATATGGACCACCAGGGGCTTGAGAGAAGAGGCCAGAAAGCACAGGCAGAGGCCACCATCCCTTGCCACTCTCAGTTTGGGCTGCCTGGGTATTTTCTCCTTTTCTGGGATTAAGTTTTGTCATTTGCCGAAAAGTTGTTAATGAGACCACTACCTTCCAGGTGCCATCCTGGAGCCTCCTTGTGGCAGGAGCTCCCCAGCTGGGCTTTCTCCAACAGTCATGGTCTGCCTCCCTGAACGTGACAAGAAACAAATGAGCTGCGCCCGTGTTGGCAGGTGGTGCTGACTTGGTGTAGATGATAGACATCCACGGCATTTGTCTGTGCAGAGTCTCCCCCTTGCCTTCCTGGAGCAACCACAGTACCACCCTCAAGCCCCAGGCACCTGGGCCCAGCCTAGCCAATCCCAGATCCCCATCATCTAGCCAAAGTGATTGGCCGTTGGACATGTGACTTGAGCTGGACCAATCAGGGTGCTTCCCTGGGTCTATATATGGATGCTGAAAGAGAGGTTGCCTTTCCCCTGGGGTCATGAAACTGGGATGAAGAAACTCTGATCTTCTACTTCCCCATCTCTTACATCAACTCTGAGAGAAATCCAGCCAAAAGATGGAAAAGACTTACACAGAGACAGAGACGGAGACAGAAAAAGAAATCTAATTTGCTATCTCCTGAGTTTTCAGAGTCCCTGAGGCTAGATTCGCGCTGGCCTCCCAAGTTCCATGAGGCAGCCACTATTTTTGCCGATGCTAGTTTTGGTTACAGGATTCTCCCAGATGCAATGAGATCTGAAGGCCTTTGGAAGGACTCCACTAGTTCAAAATACTTCTCCTTCATCCATTTGCGTGGTCCTCTTGCTTCGGCTTTCAGCTTTCTGTATGGCAGCCTCATGCCAGTGACCTGCCTCCAGCGGCCACACATCTCCTGCAGGGCCAAGCCCCTGTTTCTGGCGGGAGGCTCCACAGCCCTGGAGCCCGGTCTCATCAGCAGCCCCTCGCTGTCTAGCACTGTGTCCAAAAGACGAGGATGATACATGTCTACACTACATACGTATATGACTATATACCTATATAAGCATGTACTTTTAATTTATGTAAATACTTTATGTCTCAGATGGCAATCTCTTTCTTACTTTTTTCCCCACTCACCATTGTTTTGGAGCTCCATGAACGTTGCTTTGTATTCATCTAGCCAGTAGCTTCTAACTGCTGACAATTGTTCAATGATGCAGCTCTAGCCTGATCTACTCTCCACTCTCCGAGGGAATGACACCCACAGTCCCATCAGAAACAACACTGTGAGAAACATCACTGTCCTTGTTCCCTTATGGATACAAATGAGAATTTCTTTGGGATGCATATCTAGGAGTAGAACTGGTGGGCTTACTTTTTTTTTTTTTTGGTTGTTTTTAGAGAAATTGTTTTAGCTTTATTAGGGTATAATTGATATACAAAAAAAAATGCACACATGTAATTGTCCATATCTGGATGCCTGTAGACATATGCATACACCCATGATACCATTGCCACAACCAAGGTACTAAACATACCCATCACCTCCAAAAATTCTGCACAGACTTACCACCAAGTTATTCCCCAGAAGGGCTGCCCCAGTCTGCTCCCCACTAGAAATCCACAGAAGTGCCCACATCCCTGCCAACACTTGGCATTGACTAGCTCTTTCATTTTTTCGGCACAGTAGGGCTATAGTGACACGTTCTTGTTTTAATTTACCTCTATTAGTGAGATAGAGCGTTTCTTCATATTCTTGTTAAGCTTGTGGGTTTCTTCCTAATCTTTCTACCATTTTCACGGTAGAGTTGGTAGAGTTACTATCTTTCCCTTGTTGATTTGTGGGAGCACCTCTGTTCTAGCAATGTGTCCCTTGTCGGCTACAGATATTCCCAACATCTCCCCCAGTCTGTTATCATACTAATAATTGTATCGTACTTCATTGGAAAGGAGACATTAATCCTGATGTTATCAAATTCATCTCCTTTTTTTTCTTTTGGAGACTTAACACTTTGGGTTTTTGAGGTTTTGTTTAAGAATGCCCTTTCCAAGGGGCACTGGGTGGCTCAGTAGTTAAGTGTCTGCCTTCGGCTCAGGTCACGGTCCCAGGGTCCTGGGATTGAGCCGCACATCGGGCTCCCTGCTCCGCAGGAAGCCTGCTTCTCCCTCAGATCCTGGGTCTACAACCCAGCCATGTGGCCTGGATGAGTCACTGAGCAAGTTCAGTTTCTCCACCTGGAGAATGGAGATGACGCCCATACCTTAACCACCTGATTCAGAGGGTTGCTGGGACAGTCCAGCATGAGACACAGAGCACCTGCCACAGTGTGGGCGTCAATAAACATTGTTTTTGCTCTTACCTGCCGTATGAGTGTCCTCAGCTGCCCTAACAAATTACCACCAGTGGGGTGGCTGAGAACAGGAGAAATGTATTCTCTCACCGTCCTGGAAGCCAGAAGGCTGAAGTCAAGGTGTAGGCAGGTTTGGTTCATTCTGGAGGCTTTGATGGAAAGTGCGTTCCATGCCTCTCTCCTGCCTCGGGATGGTGCGGCCGACTTTGACGCTCTGTGGTTTGTAACTGTGTCACTCACTTCTCTGCTTCTGTCTTCATGTGACCTTCTCCTTGGGTGTCTTCAAATGGCCCTCTTCTTCTTCTTCTTCTTCTTTTTAAAGATTTTATTTATTTATTTGACAGAGAGAGACACAGCGAGAGAGGGAACACAAGCAGGGGGAGTGGGAGAGGGAGAAGCAGCCTCCCTGCTTGGGAGGGGCTGGATCCCAGGATCCAGGGATCATGACCTGAGCCGAAGGCAGAGGCTTAACGACTGAGCCACCCAGGTGCCCCCACATGGCCCTCTTCTTGTTGTGTGTTGCTTCTCTTCTTACAAAGATACCCATCATTGGATTTAAGGCCCACTTTAATCCAGCCGGTATGGTTTCATCCATACCGCACTACACCTGTAAAGACCCTCTTTCCAAATAAGGTCACATTCTGAGGTACCAGGTA